CAGCCTCCAGAACCCTCACCTGTGGGTCCCAAAGTCATAAAGGGAGATCATGAAATAGCAGGGACTAAAATGTGAGCAATATGCAGAAGACATCCAGTTCTACTCCACATGCACATAAGATGCAAGCAACATCCCTCCACACGAGTTTTCCAAGGAAAGGGCCTGTCTGCGATCAGCAACTGACTTAACTGCCTAGAACTGAATCCAGAAGAGCTTAAATTAAGGTAATGATGATGGGATGAAGGAAGCACTCCAAAAAACTTGCCTCCGCTATAATATCACCCTCCACCCTACTCTTCTGCTTTGGTGTTCACCTCGATTCCTCATTTCTATAAACCCAAACAGCCACAGTCATACAAAATGCCCTAGTCTATTCATGGATACCAAGACAAATGCCAGCTCCAGTCAATTTTAAATTTAGCCACAATGATTCATTTACCCCTGGCCTCTAGGCATGATTACTCTAAGTCCCTGTACCTAAGAATGAAACCTTGAATCTAAAAAAATACAGATAAACACAGGACACTAGAAAAAAGTCCTCCACTCTCCACAGAGGCTTCAAACAGGGTCAAACTCGAAGTTCAAGTCCTTATCTTCAAATCTCTCCACGCTCTGGCCTTCTATGATCATGACCTCCCAGAACAGCTGTGTTCCACTGAGACAACGGAGTTATCTATGTCAAGGGTGAAACTAGTGTGTAAAAAATTACAAATGGGAAGTACAACTCTATGGGCCAGAAGTCACGACCATATGAACACCATTGTCTTTAGATTAGGCTGCAACACAACTCTTTGATTTAGCCTTCCTGTATTAAACACTAATCTCCTCTCTTGAACCTGCAAAACAGAGTCCAATTTCTGGAGACATGAAGGAAGAGACTGACAGATTTAACAATACATTTGTGTATAATTTATAATTTTGTGAAGTACTCGTAGCACAATGATGGGTGCCAGAGTAAGAATTTGCACAGATCAATCTTGTAAGCACCATACTGAAGTCCCAAGATGGAAGAGATTCTGAAGCTGGTGTATACACATAGAATCATAGAATATAAGGGTTGGAAGGGACCCCAGAAGGTCATCTAGTCCAACCCCCTGCTCGAAGCAGGACCAATTCCCAGTTAAATCAACATCAGTGCTTTCAACTATCTTGTAATCCTACAATGACTGAAGGCAGAAAAGCTTTGTACTAATGGATGGTAAGCAGAAATGGCTGCCAAGTGCACTTAACAGTAGCAAGACTGTCTTACCTTTTTTTTGCAATCCAAGAAAGGTGACAATTTGACAGGCAAGATCCATAGCGAAAATCTCATTCAGTTTAGAACACATTTTCTTGTAAATGGCTTTTGAGAGTGTAAAAATATGTTGTGCACTTCCTCAGAACACCTTCATTTCTAACAAGGTACCATGATCCAAGCAGCCCAATGATGACAGAGAATTTGTCCTTATTCTTAGACAGAAGATGCAGAAGTACAGGAAGAATTAGAAACTGAGGACAGGCCCGGAAGATCTGAATACCAGAACTGATACACCCAGGGAATCCAGTAAAGTATCTCTCATTGTTAATATTTATATTTCAGTAGAGCCCAGAGGACCCTTACCAGCACTGGAGCCCCATTTTACTAGGCACTATACAAACGCAGAAATAGACACAGCCATTGCTTCAAGCATCTTGAAGTCTCTGTGGAAATAGGGATAATGGAAGATAAACTTTATAGAAAGTCCTGATCCAAATCAAACAGGAAGATATCCTTCAGGAAATCTGGATCCCTCTTCACTTAAGTCATGAACAGTATATACATTTAGTAGTCCTTGAAACATCAGTCTATTTACCAATCACTCCACTTTCTGAATAGAGACTATACTACCAAGTCTTTTAGGGACCACAATGCCGCTTGTGACTCGGCCTATAAGAATGCCTTTCCCTGACATCTTGAGGACTATTAGATAAATCTGAACTCTAATATAACAATCCTAAAATATCACTGCTGAGCAAAGACAACGTGATTCCTTGTTTCCTCCTGTAATATTGGAATATTGTTAACAACTGCATCACAAATCCTCCTTTTCCCTGAAGGAAAGACTTCAGAACCACTCATATTGATTGAGATTCCAAAACATGTTTTCCTTTTCCATAAATTCCAATCATCATGCTTGTGAATCCAAATATTTGAAGCAGAACAACAGTTAAGTGGCCACGTAATTAAGCATACATATTTGACATAATGTGTATCTTATTTGTCTCTGCAATTTAGAAGCATATTATAGGTGCAGCTGGTTGCACCACACACAGTGAAGGTGACTTGACACTTCCTATAAAAGAACGTGTTTACAGTAACTTTTAACTTTCCACTTTTTAAATGGTCAAGATGATATTTCCCAGGCCACATGTCTGCCCTCAAGCTAACTTATTTGGGAAAGTTTATTTTTATAGATTGCAAATATTTTTTCCCCCTAAAACTACCTCCCTGTTGAAATTCATAAGAAAAGCCTCAAAATATTGCAGTGTATGATCCACACATCTCTCTCATATGAAATGTAAATAAAAGTGACTATTTTTGCTGCAGTAAGTACTTCAGAAGTATAAGTTTTACAACTTAGCAGCAAGGCATTACAAGGCCATTTGGAAACGAAAAATGTTGTAAGGAGTTAACAGTATTGTCTCAGCATAAGTGAAAGAGAGGCTTACAAAAGTGAATTTTCTTTTTGGTTATAGAAATTATTTTAACAAAAGGGAATTGTCAGAAATAGTTTACACAGTGCAAATGAGAGCACCAATAGGAAAGCATAGAGTCAGCAAGAAACTAATAATCAAGATGCAAGTAAAGCACAATAACTTCTTCAGTTTGTTAAAATCTAGTATTTCGCATATTGGTAAGCAGTTGAATTATGTGAAATTTCTTTCACAGCTTTAATGTACACTCCTAGTACATTTATGAAAGTACATTTATTTTCCTTAACACTTAAAAATATATTCTTTGAAAATGTATGCCATTTCCATGTGGTCTGCTCAGTGTAACTACAGAAAGACATGTTATCAATGGTTAGCATTGCCCAGCAACTATAGTTAAAGAGCAAGCTATATTCTCTCTCGATACACACACTATCAGCAAAACTTTCAGTTAATTTTTAATTGCAGACAATTAAGCCCCATAAACTTATGGTAAAGAAAAGAATAAATATATTCAATATATAGATATTGCACATTCCAGACCATTTTAATATTTATCAATTAGTAATCCTGAATGGCACATAAGTGCTTAAAAGTAAATAATATGAAAATCAAAGACTTTTAAAAGCTGGTATGACTATCCTTCAAACAAGCCTTTCTAAAAGAAATGCAGGCATATATTTTTGTACATGGGACATTTCTTGAACCAATTCTATTTACATATTGTTTTTGTAACAGAATTTTAATCTCAGGACAGGAGTTAATATACAACCTTTTAAAACAACTATTAGAGAAGAACACTGTTTATCTCTAGTACTTTTAACACTTGTTAATATTAGGCTATTTTTAACATGCTGACGTTCCTTTAAAGAAAAGAATAAGCGAGGACAGCTTTAGCCTGTATAAACACCCACAGCACCACCTTCAGACACAATTTTAAAAATGCATGCTAACAAAAGTTACCTCCTGCAAATCTATAAAATATCAGTTGACAATATCCTTTAAAAATCTTTACACTGAATCAGCAGCTGAATGATCAAAACGGAAGACAGCCAGAATGGCATACTTCTGAGTACTGTCCGGAGACTGAAGATGTGAATTATCCCTGCTAACTGCCCTAAGAGGAAACATTTGCAGTGTTGTAGCCACATTGCTCCCAGGATATGACATACACAAGGTGGGTGAGGTAATATGTTTTATTGGACCAACTTCTGTTGGTGGAACAGACAAGCTTTCGAGAGACCAAGAGCTTGCCCTCAGGGCTGGAAAAAGTAATCAGAGTGTCAGAGATAAATGCAAGATGGGACAGATTGTTAAACATAAGCATTAACATGTTGCAAGAGAGCAGTTAAAGTGAAACAGACAATCAACAATTTTTTATGATCTCCCATGTGGGTTCCGCTGTGGGGTGGTTGGTGGGTTGCATTTTTTCCATACCGAAACCAGCTCTATTGAGGTATATTGAGGTATTTGTGTGGCCAGTTCCATGACATGATCTACGTCTCTGGTGGAGTGTCCTTGTTTGGTGAAGGCAGATTTAAGTGTCTTAAGGTGTCTATCCTGGACTTTCTCCTCAGAGCATAGGCTGCGGTAACTGAGTGTCTGGCTGTAGATAACAGATATTTTGGTGTCTGGAGTGGTTCCTGGATCCAGAGAAGTAAGCATGGGATCTGTGGGTTTCTTGGATATAACTGTCTATAGTTAAACTTTCACAGAAAAATTATAAAAGACAAAAACACCCTATCATCTGTGGGCAAACACTTTTCACAAAGTGATCACTCTTCATTGGATCTCTCGGTCTTCGTCCTCAAACAAAACCTGCACAACACCATCAAAAGATGAGCCTGGGAAGTTAAATTCATAACTTTGCTAGATACCAAAATTCAGGGGCTTAGAGACACTGGTTTTAGGACTCATTACACCAATGTGTAACCCACTAATTCTCCCTGGCCCCAGTACTGCACAGGTGTTAATTGCCCACTGTCCTTCAACTGGTCTCCTGTAACTTGTTAACGACTTATGCTTAACAATCTGTCCCGTCTTGGATTTATCTGCAACATTGATTACTTTTTGTAGTTTTGAAGAGCCCTGTGCAGCTCAAAAGCTTGTCTCGTCCAACAACAGAAGCTATTCCAATGGAAGATACTACCTCACCCACCTTGACTCTAAGAGAAAAGGGTTGTGTACTACTTACCAAAAGAAGATTTTTTTAAAAACTACTTTAATTGCACAACAGATTGCATGTTACTTTACAATGTAAGTTAAGCAAAATATACTAAAGGAAAGTTTTTGTAATACATGGTTAACTGAAGAAATAAAAACCAACGTACTTCAAGCTGCAGTTCTGTGTACTTTCTTCTTAGTTCAGCCACTTCTTCCCCAGCCTGCATCTTCTTATACAAATCAAGCTCAGTATCCAGTAATTCTTTCTGCATCTAAGAAATTGTCAAGGTGAAGTTATTAGTTTATACATTCCTTACTCCTGAATGGGGAAAATACTCCACTGATAATGACAAAGGTTTTGATAGCCTAGAATAACACTGCTAATAGTGGGCAGTCGTGACTGGCTATTTTAAAAATAAGCAGGGCCTCCAAGTGAGTTAGATTACTCTTAAGGCAACAGAAAGTTTCCCCTTTCTCGCTGTACCTGGAAAATAGAAATTCAGAAACCTGAGCCAAGACAGAAGAAAATGGTTGGGAATCTAGATGATGGGCTTTTCATTTTTGGCTTAAGTTATACTATTGTTGTTTCTTAGTAGTACTTAATACTGGTATTGTGAGCAGCATCCAAAGAACACTGCATGAGGTTAGGAGGTTAAGACTGGAAGGTGAAACTCAGTGTTTAATAAGGGGAAGTCTCCGAAAACTTTATGTTGTCATTGCCTCCAGTACTGATTTAACTGCCAACCATGATGATGGAATTTGGTGTTTCTTCTTTTAAACCAGGAGTTACCCCAACTAATGGGTTGCAACTTGTGTGGTGGTGGGAAGATCCCCAACAATCTAAAAAGTTCTGCAAAACATAATTCAGTACATTTTAAATGACAAATGAATACACAATACACACTCTAATGGCAAGTTCTTTTAATACCACAATATTTTCATAATGTGAGAAAGCCAAATGGTAGCTCACTGCAGACTAAGGCAGGACACAAATATAAGCAACTACTACTAGCACCTCTGCTAATAAAAGTCAGCCTCTTTGTGTATGTTGTTTTTCCTTCCGGAACACAGTATATGAACCATTAAAAAACTGTTATATACAAACACCAATTGCAAGTACCCATGCACACAAATCATAACAAAATGTGTCACTGAACTGAAATCCACACATGTTGGCTGCAACTTCTAAGGTCTGAGCGCACAAATGAGCTTCATATGATCATGTCAGTCTTCACTGGAGTTTGGTTCCGATTAAGGGGTGATTTTAAAACATGGATTGGTTTTGTGAGGAGGACCATGTCCAGATGTTCCAAATCATACCTCAAAATAAAAATAAAATGCACAAATAACAAATAGTTTCTGAAGTTACAGTTCATGCAGTGATTACCAAATTGAAAAACAGTGCTTTTGATAAATATTGTTTTGCAGGTGTATCAGCGATATGGTTGTGGATGTCCGAAAACGACTGCTTTCAAAACTCATGAAAAGTGATTATTTAGCAATTCAAATTCCTTCGTCAGAAACTCTGGTGCTTCAGAACTTCTTAAGTTTGTTAGGTATATTGCTGATGCTTCTATTGAAGATTCTTTTGTAACGTTGTGCAATGTCCCTCAAGAAGAAAATGATTACTTGACATATCAGGAGACAAAGATTTCCACATTCAATAGGAGCAGTGTATTGTAATCTACTTAGATTGCACCAAGGCAAGAACAAGCAAAACTAATGGCCTGGTCACATATATGCAATGCATTATGCTTTCAGGACTTCATGCATGACCAATCTTTAACTGTTCAGAAAATGCCTGAAAACCTGTGGCCAAGACCTTCATGAAGCTGTCAAAGCAGTGAACTTCACCAAAGCTACACTAAGAAAGCTGGCTCCCCGCTCCGCCTCCTCTCCAAATCGCTCAGATGACACAGGTTTCTTTCACCACCTTGTTCGCATTACAGCATTCTTACAAGGCAGACTGCTAACTTTCCTCTTTGAGGTAAGAGTGGAAGTGCAGGTTTTCCCTCATGATGAAGTCTCTCCATGCTAATATCTTCAATAATTGTCTGTGTGACAAAGCTTAACCTACCTTGCAGACATCTTTGGACACCTAACAAACTGAACTACTCTCTTCAGGTGAGAAATACAAATGTTCTGTCCATGCAAAACAGTAAAAACATTCAGCAAAAACACTTGGAAATAAGTCTTCTTGAGGTGCTTCATTTTGTTTCAATCTTCAAGGAAAATGAGGAGCCAGTCAAGCACTATCAGAATCTGATCATTCAGTATCCAATCTTATTTCAGACTTACTTGTAGGACGAGCTTCTTAACTACTTGCAGAACTCACTGAATCAGTGCAAGACAAACTGACATTTCTCCTGTAATAGAACTACAGGAATATAGTATAGTATAATGTAGTATACTATAACAGGATGTTTTCTAGCTGGGAATAGAGCAGATTTTGGCTGTTTATTCTTAAGTTTTAGTCAGATTGTTTTTCAGCTGCAGTAACAAAAAAATCCCCAAAAGTGCTGGTATCAACCACCTAACAAAAACTATTTAAAACTATTTCTGCAAATCAACTTCATTGAACATCATTCATCAGCAATACAGTTCAATCTGACAAATATTCTTGTAATTTATCTCCATAACAGAGATCAAATTCCAAAACCTGTTATTTCTAGTATGAAAAAGTTCACCCTATGGTTGGGGTAGGTGGTTTTGGGGGAAGAGAGGTCATAAAACATTTCCTGATCTGAAAGGGGTTATCAGCTCCTAAAAGATTAGGAAAACCCTGTTTTACAATTTCTATCCAAGAACTAGCGCCACCAAATTAATCCTTTTCTTAATATAGCGGTCTCAGGAGTTTAATAGAAAGAACTCAGGTTGAGAACTAAGATGTGTTTCAGAAGTAGTCACACAGAAGCGTAAGTCCAACTGCCAGTCCCAATTATTATTTTATAGTTACTATTTTTCATCATCATCTGCCTATTAAGTAAGGCTGCCTTGTATTTTCTCAAATATGATTGCAAATTTAAAGCTGATGATCCTTCCTAGAATCCAGTCTAAGGTGAAGTCATGAAGTCTTCGGAGTAGCATTCCAAAACTAAAACTTTAGAAGGGAGAAATAAACATACTAAGGGATTGGCATTCTGAACAAACTGGAACAGATGAAGACTGGCTGTGGTCTTCCAAAGAAGTATCTGGTAAAACACTCTACACTACACTATTTTTTTTAAAAACCCTTCCCTGTTTTTTTTTCCTATATGTTTTTGTGTCTCAGTAGGGTAGAACAGAAAATGTGTGATTTATTTGTTTAGAATGACTTATTTAGAGGATCATTTTAATTCCTTAATATTGATACTTTTCCAGGGCTTTTAAAATTGTTCATTCACTCTAATCTGGGGCTGAAGATCTCACCCTAGAGATAACAAAATATCAGGGTCATAAAAAGGTCATGTAATTGGATCAGAAAGCAAAGGTTTACAGACCAAGTCTAACTCTGGAAACGACCGAAGGGAGTAATTAGCCTTCTGTAGCATCAAAAAGAGAAACCACTGAAGAGAAACTTCTCTCACAACTAAAACCTCATTATGACCAGTGAATTCAAAAGACTGACAATAAATACATTAACATTGTTTCCAACCTAAAAAGTATGGCATATGGGACAAGTTCACAGTGAGAGATTAATGCAGTACTATAATTGCCCACCCAAATGACTATTTAGTTGATAGCACTGTATAATACAATCAAAACATGACGGGACAGCAACTTAATTCTAGTGAGTTTAAGTAGTTATTTGTTTCTTATTCTAAATCTAACCCTTACAGTGAGAGCTTCCTTTTGTTTAAAAAAATATTCCTCTCCCCCATTGCTGCTGGAAAGACCCACAATGAAAAGGAGAACTTGACTGACTATTCAGGAGAAGCAGCGAAACTAACAAAGTGCTGTCAAAGGTAAGAGAAAAAAAAAGTGAAAAATATTTTTCTTCTGATATATTTCAGATGATGTACTAAATTTAGGTATACAAGTAACAATACGAGGTAAAAAACAATTTCAGACAGCTACCTGTATTTTAAATTGACAACGTCCCTTTATAGTGAGGGAAACTAATAGAATAATCTTACTTACTTAGACTCACAGTGGTGGGATTTTTTTTAGCTGAGTGGCATCAGCACATGACGCAATTATATAACTTATTTAAAAAAAAAACAGAAATTGAGTACCTGAGCCTTAGTTTTCAAGCTTTTCAGAGGAGCACCTCCAGATGAGACACCTTTTAATTCATCCTTTAACTTGGTAATGCTATTAGTCAAAGTCTCCAGTGTTTTCATTATTTCTGCTTTGTCTTCTGACTTCATCATGGGTTTATTCTTCTCCAACTTTGAAATCAGCATCTGTCCAATTTAAAACATTTTTATTATAGTTGGGAGGATTAATGTATCTAGTATTCTAGACGTAATTGTGGGTTTTCCTAGATATGTTGATTAAAATGTTAGAACAGAGAAAATACACTTGGCTTTCAAGATCAACATGGCACCTTAGAGACTAACCAATTTATTTGAGCATAAGCTTTCGTGAGCTACAGCTCACTTCATCGGATGCATACTGTGGAAAGTGTAGAAGATCTTTTTATACACACAAAGCATGAAAAAATACCTCCCCCCACCCCACTCTCCTGCTGGTAATAGCTTATCTAAAGTGACCACTCTCCTTACAATGTGTATCATAATCAAGGTGGGCCATTTCCAGCACAAATCCAGGGTTTAACAAGAACATCGGGGGGGGCGGGGGGTAGGAAAAAACAAGGGGAAATAGGCTTGAATAGAGACTGGGAGTGGCTAAGTCATTATGCAAGGTAACCTAAGTTAATTGTATCCAATTTGCAAATGAATTCCAATTCAACAGTTTCTCACTGGAGTCTGGATTTGAAGTTTTTTTGTTGTAATATCGCAACTTTCATGTCTGTAATCGCGTGACCAGAGAGATTGAAGTGTTCTCCAACTGGTTTATGAATGTTATAATTCTTGACATCTGATTTGTGTCCATTTATTCTTTTACGTAGAGACTGTCCAGTTTGACCAATGTAAATGGCAGAGGGGCATTGCTGGCACATGATGGCATATATCACATTGGTGGATGTGCAGGTGAACGAGCCTCTGATAGTGTGGCTGATGCTATTAGGCCCTGTGATGGTGTCCCCTAAATAGATATGTGGGCACAGTTAGCAACGGGCTTTGTTGCAAGGATAGGTTCCTGGGTTAGTGGTTCCTGGTGAGTATTTGCTTCAGGCTGGGGGGCTCTCTGTAGGCAAGGACTGGCCTGTCTCCCAAGATTTGTGAGAGTGTTGGGTCATCCTTCAGGATAGGTTGTAGATCCTTAATAATGCGTTGGAGGGGTTTCAGTTGGGGGCTGAAGGTGACAGATAGTGGCGTTCTGTTATTTTCTTTGTTAGGCCTGTCCTCTAGTAAGTGACTTCTGGGAACTCTTCTGGCTCTATCAATCTGTTTCTTCACTTCCGCAGGTGGGTATTGTAGTTGTAAGAATGCTTGACAGAGATCTTGTAGGTGTTTGTCTCTGTCTGAAGGGTTGGAGCAAATGCGGTTGTATCGCAGAGCTTGGCTGTAGACGATGGATCGTGTGGTGTGGTCAGGGTGAAGGCTGGAGGCATGTAGGTAGGAATAGCGGTCAGTAGGTTTCCGATATAGGGTGGTGTTTATGTGACCATCGTTTATTAGCACTGTAGTGTTCAGGAAGTGGATCTCTTGTGTGGACTAGTCCAGGCTGAGGTTGATGGTGGGATGGAAATAGTTGAAATCATGGTGGAATTCCTCAAGGGCTTCTTTTCCATGGGTCCAGATGATGAAGATGTCATCAATATAGCGCAAGTAGAGTAGGGGCGTTAGGGGACGATAGCTGAGGAAGCGTTGTTCTAAGTCAGCCATAAAAATGTTGGCATACTGTGGGGCCATGCGGGGTACCCACAGCAGTGCCACTGATCTGAAGGTATACATTGTCCCCAAATGTAAAATAGTTATGAGTAAGGACAAAGTCACAAAGTTCAGCCACCAGGTTAGCCGTGACATTATCGGGGATAGTGTTCTTGACGGCTTGTAGTCCATCTTTGTGTGGAATGTTGGTGTAGAGGGCTTCTACATCCATAGTGGCCAGGATGGTGTTATCAGGAAGATCACCCCCCTCCTCAGACGTTCTTGTTAAACCCTGGATTTATGCTGGAAATGGCCCACCTTGATTATCATACACATTGTAAGGAGAGTGGTCACTTTAGATAAGCTATTACCAGCAGGAGAGTGGGGTGGGGGGAGGTATTTTTTCATGCTTTGTGTGTATAAAAAGATCTTCTACACTTTCCACAGTATGCATCCGATGAAGTGAGCTGTAGCTCACGAAAGCTTATGCTCAAATAAATTGGTTAGTCTCTAAGGTGCCACAAGTACTCCTTTTCTTTTTGCGAATACAGACTAACGCAGCTGTTACTCTGGAAGATCAACATGGTTGTTCATATAGTTTATATTCAGGTAAATGGGTATATTTAACTATTACTTTTTGTAATGATTAATGAGGATCTTTTCAAGAGAGAATTCAAATTCTGTAATAGATAGTTTTTCATGCATTCTACCCAACCTAAATTATGACTTTGCCTTTCACCTCCTACCCCGACTGTTCTATGCATCTTTTGTTGCGCTCATGTGATAAATAAAGTGGGGCGGTAGCTCCCTTTGATGGGCACCCAGCCAGCCAGCCAACTGTAAAATCCCTCTTGGTAGCTGTTCTCTACTTGCTTTACCTGTAAAGGGTTAAAAAGTCCCCCAGGTAAAGAGAAAGAAAAGTGGGCACTTGACCAAAAGAGCAAATGGGAAGGCCAGAACTTTTTAAAATAGGGAAAGAAACTTTCCCTTTGTCTGTACTCTCTGGGCTGGAGGGAGCCATGCTATAAGCAGCTTTAAGCCAGGTATGATCATAAATCATCAGATCATACCTAGAACTACTTATCGGAACTCCAAATGTGTAAGTAGATCATAATGTTTAGCTAGACGCGATCAGGTTTACTTCTGTATTTTTTCAGGCTTGTGGAGGTCTTCTGTGCTAACCTTGATGCTTTTGTTTGCTTGTAACCCTTAAACTGAACCCCCAAGAAAGCTGTTTTGGGTGCTTAAATTGTGTAAATTGTTTCTTTTAAGATCTAGCAAAAAGCCTAAGTTCCAGACATAATCTTTTCCTTTTTGTTTTTAATAAAAAATTACCTTTTTTAAGAACAGGATTGGATTTTTGGTGTTCTAAGAGGTTTGTTCATGTTGTTTGATTAGCTGGTAGAAAACAAAGGAAATTAACTGTCTTTCTCAGCTCTTCCCCGGAAGGGGTGGTGAAAGGGCTTGAGGGTACCCCACAGGGAGGAATTTCCAAGTGCTCCTTCCTGGGTTCAAAGGGGTTTTTTTGCATTTGGGTGGTGGCAGCGTTTACCACGCTACGGTCAGAGAAAAGCTGTAATCTTGGGAGTGTAATACAAGCCTGGAGTGGCCAGTATTAATTTTTAGAATCCTTGCGGGCCCTCACTTCTGCACTCGGAGTGACAGAGTGGGAATTCAGCCTTGACAGCTCATCTCACCAGCTTTTAGGGGCAGGAACTGTCTTTGGCCATGCCATTAGTACAAAAATAGGTGTTTTCTTAACTTGAGTTATCAAACTCAAGTTAAAATCCTAGTGAAGACAAGACAGTTTGTAGTTTGCAAATGAGATAGTAGGTCCAGTTAAAGACTTTGGGGAAGACTAATTTAACTCAACCTGCTAACTCATGTAAAAATTACAAACTGCTTAGATTTTTACCAGGATTTTAACTTGAGTTAGCTAACTCAAGAACACACCTTTCTTTCATACTGAAGACACGAGTTAAGTTTGTTTCTATGTAGTGCCATGCACATCATTGGTGAATGTCAGGTTTAAATTTTATATCCTATTACCTCAGTATTCCTGTAGATCAAGGTTCTATCTATAATCAACATGCCAGTTTCTACCACCTTCAATTTTAACCTCAATAGCTCATGTTTGTATCTACTGATTCTGTGTGTTTGAAAATACTATTTTAGATAAAAACAAGCCTAACTTTGATCACTAGTGTCTAGTCTGCAGTAAATATAGTGCTTTTTTTTTTTTTTTTTAAAGATATACCCCCAGTTTACAAATAGACTCCCTTTCAGCCTTCCCAACAGCAATGGAAAACGACCACATGGGGAAGTGTGATGATGCAGGAGGTGTCAACACCAAGTTCCAGGGCTCAGCAAAAATGACTATACTCAGGCGTTCATTTTAAAGCATTCCAAGCCAGGTGCTGGCTGAATTTATGTTTCCCATGAGTATTTGGGGTATTTGATGGATCCCGTACAAAAGTAGACTGCTCTGGGTGAAGTTTCCAGGCGTACTTGACAACCTCGCATGTCATGATCAATTATGAGGTAAAAGATGTAGCAATCAGGTTAAACTGTATTACAATTTTTTGCCCCAAGCACATATCTTGGAACCACTATCCTAAAATTTCCGAAGATGAACAAAGGAAGCAGAAGAAATGATCCTTCTTGAACAAAGAATACATCATTAGAAAAAGATGTGCCAAAGTGCTGAGGAGCAGTGCCAGAGCACTTGAGTATCATCAAAAAGCAGCACCACAAAAATGCACTAAGAAACATGGAAGTGCCAACAAAAAAAAAAACTTAGCATACAGAATACAGAACTCCAATATACTGAGCAACTAGAACAAAATGCCAAACAATTCTGGAGACAAAAAAAAAAAAAAAAGAGCAGACAGACTTGGTACTTCAAGAACAAGCAAACCAGAGCATCAATAAAAGCACAACAGCACTTCTTCCTCTCTCTTTACAGAGCTGACTGCAAGGAAGGACACCAGGAAAAAGATACCTAGAGAACAAGGCTGGCAAGATGGTCAGATGCAGCAACAGGTGGAAGTCCACATGTGGCTCCTTCGCTGACCACAATCAAGAAAGAACTGGTTAGATGGTTCTAGGGATTGAGGGATCAGCAGTGCATGATAGGGAAAACACGGGAAGCTCAAACACTGGCCCCCACTAACAAAAATCTTAGAGATAAAAGAATCCCACACTGTTTAATAAGGGAAGCATGAGAACCAACAGTCAGAACACTTTGTGATAGTGACCTCTTTTGCACTGAGATTTATGGATGAAAAGCACAAAAAGCTAGGTATTATTATATATTTACATACCATTAATTGCAATTTATGATTACGACAAACTATTATAATGATTTTACAACTCATGCTGTCAACTGTTACTTTTATTATCTCTGCAGAAAGCTCCAATCAGGGAGCATCTAAATACTTTACCTTTTGTGTTTCAATGTGCTTTTCTAAGATCTCCTGTTTTTTCTTTCTCACATCTTGTTGAAGTCTTAGTGCTTCCTAGGGGCATAAAATAAAATTACAGAAAGTTCCTAAGATTTTTGGAATCAAGAATTCATCAAGAGAATATTGTGTCACTGAATAAACTAGTCTGCCTACTGTAGTAAGTGATTACAAAAAGAAATTCTGACAAAAATAAATTCTAGTAATAGAAATAGGCTCACCTGACGTACAAAAAGAGGGTTATCAAAGCTATCCTTAGCGTATCAAACATCAGGGTTAGTGATAAATCTGAAAACCAGACTTAGTTAAATAGATGCCAGGAAAGCGTCAATCTTTATCACTTATCTAGGACTCGGGTAACCATTTTACAGATCACTATTCCAGTGTGAAAAGCAGAATATTTTACCACCACATTACCAGAGGAATTTTGGTATTCTTTATAGTGCAACCATGATTTTATTGCAGGAGTTCGGACATATAAGGGAAGTATCCTAGAAGCAACCGTATGTTGAGTCCTACAATAAATTAGACATATTTCATAGTACAGTCTCAGGCCACAAAAATCAAAAGTTCACAGGAAGTTCTTAAAAAACTTTGATAACATCACCAAAAACTTGCTACCGGGAAAGTAACATTATGATTGGCTAGTGTAACTTGTAAGGAACATAACTTTCAATTTTTGAAGTGGAATCTTGCCACATATTTATGAATACAGAAGTATGAAATGTAAATTTGTCCATTTCAGAATTGTATTACTGTATTTCTAAAATACTGTACTTGGAGGAGGGAGCAGAAGAGATGCCAGAGCTTCTATTCAGCTTCTGCTGCAGCTGCTGTAAAGAAAGCAATCACTTCCTGCTCTCAGGCACAGAATGGGAGCAGAAGCTCATGATTCAGCACATTTTCAAGAAGAGCTAAGGAATTTTATACAAACATAGTTGATGAGGGAGAAGGAATATAAGAATCTGCCTGCATTTCTGGGTCAGCATTTCCATGTCAGCCAACAGCTGGACTCAGACTGCAAGGTAAATTACCTTATACAGAATGCAAATGTGTCGACAGCTACAAAATACTAATATTAATACTAAGCTATGTTTGTGTCTCTCTCCTCCCAAACACCAACCTGACTTCTGCTTGCTCAGAATGTCTTATTTGCTATAGTGTGTGATCCTGTTCTCCAGTGGCTGCAGTCCATAGAGGGATTATAAACACAGGGGAATGAGGAAAGGAAAGGGAGATGGGGAAAACAAAGGAAGACAGGAGGAGGAGGAGGAAAGGGGAGCTACCTTTGACATCCGTCCCAACGAGCCATGAATTTCTCACAGGTATTGTATTATAATAATACCCATCTCTTCAGACAGCAAAAGGGCAGCAGAAAAAGTGAACCAGCAAGAGGGCAAAATTTGTTGTTTCTCTTTATCTTTAAGACTTATTCAATAAGTCTGAAGTCACTGGAAGCTACAGGTGCTCACATCTTCCAAAAAGTCAGGTTATAGCTGTATAATGTTGGAGACCCCATATCAGAGGCAACTTGAAAATCTGACCCCATATTACAGGTGAGACGCAGTTACAAAGGCATATGTGTTAAATTTGAAGATCTCTATAGTTAGTGTCTATTAACTTAAACCCTCTATACAGAAGTTATGTCATCCTCAATGCTTTTTTAGGAACCTAAATTGGATGGATTCAGCTCATTTGTTATGAACTGAAAAAAGACAGTTACCTTTTTCTGTAACTGATGTTCTTCAAGATGTGTTGCTCATGTCCATTCGACTGAGGTGTGTGTGCGCGCGCACCTGCACACACCACATGCACCCGTGTTGGAAGTTTTCTCCCTCAGCAGTAACCGTAGGGGACAAGCTCTGGCACCCCCTGGAGTGGCGCACACATGCTGTGGTACGTAGGGCACCGTCGGCTCCCCCCACCCTCAGTTCCTTCTTGCCGGAAATTCCGACAGTGGGGGAGGAGGGCGGGTTGTAGAATGGACATGAGCAACAAATCTCGAAGAACACCAGTTATGGAAAAATGTAAATGTCTTTTCTTTGAATACTTGCTCATGTCCATTCAGTTTAGGTGATCCCCAAGCAGTACCCCGTGGAGGTAGGTAGGAGTTCACAGACGTGTAGATTGTAACACAGCTCTGCCGAACCCAGCGTCGTCTCTGGCCTGCTGAGTGATGGCATAATGGGCTGTGAATGTGTGCACCAAAGACCACGTTGCAGTGTGACAGATGTCCTGTGCCAGGAAGGCCGCCGAGGATGCCTGCGTTCTGTCAAGTGGGCTATGACGATTGGCGGCATAGGGACTCCCGCCCACTCATAACAAGTCTAAATGCAAGAGGTGATCCAATTAGAAATCCTCTGTGTGGACACTGGGAGGCCCTTCATCCTATCAGCTGCAGAGATGAAAAGCTGAGTCAACTTACAGAAAGGCTTTGTCTAACCTACGTAGAAAGCCAGGGCTCTTCTAACGTCCAAAGCGTGAAGGTGCCTCTCTTCACTAGTCTCATGGGGCTTGGAGCAGAAGACCAAAAGGAAGATGTCCTGACTCACGTGGAAAGTAGACACCACCTTGGGAAGGAAGGCCACGTGGGGCCAGAACTGAACCTTGTTCTTATAGAAGACCGTGTACGGCAGCTCTAAGGTCAAGGCTCGCAGCTCAGAGACTCGCCTCGCCAATAGGTGAGAGAGGGAGCACAAGGCCAAAGGCTCAAAGGACAGGCCTGTGAGCCTGGACAAAACCAAGTGAGATCCCACTGCGGGACTGGGGACAAAACTTGTGGAAAAAGTCTCTCAAGACCTCTGAGGAATTGGACTGTCATGTCATGGGAGAACACTGTCTGACCCTGGATTGGCAGATAAAAGGCAGAAATGGCTGCCAGATGCACCTTGATAGAGGAGTGTGTCAGGCCCTGGTTCCTCAAATGAAGCAAGTAGTCTAAGATTGACTGCATCGAAGAATGCAAAGGGGAGATGCCCCGTTTGGCTGTCCAGCGGGAGAACCTCGTCCACTTTGCCAGGTAAGTCTATTTAATTGAGGGCTTCCTACTCTCAAGGATGACCTTCTGGACGCCTTCTGAACATGCCCGTTCCTCAGGGTTCAGCCACGCAACACTCACGCCGTGAGGTGGAGGGACACAAGGTTGGAGTGCAAGAGTCTACCGTGATCCTGTGACAGCAGGTCCGGTCGGTTTGGCAGGGGCCACGGCGGGATCGCTGCCAGGCTCGACAGCATCCAGAACCAGTGCTGGCAAGGCCATGCAGGGGCGATCATGATAACCTGAGCTTCGTCTCTCTTGATTTTCGCTAGGACCTTGCTGATGAGCGGAATTAGATGGAACGCATATATCAAGCTTCCTGCCCTCGGCAGGAGGAAGGCATCAGAGAGGGAGTCCTTGCCCAGTCCCCGTCTGGAGCAAAACCTGTGGCACTCCTGTTCTGCCTAGTGGCAAACAAATCCACCTGGGGAGTTCCCTACCTCTGGAAGATCGTGCTGGCTACCTCTGGGTGGAGCACCCACTCGTGGTGAGAGGAGAAATCCCTGCTCAGGTGATCTGCTAGCATGTTCTTGGCACCCAGAAGGTGACACGTTTCTAGGTAGATTCCATGGTAGATACACAAGTCCCAGAGATGGAGTGCCTCTTGGCAGAAGGCCGTGGATCATGCTCCCCCTTGTCTGTTGACGTAGAACAGCGGTTCCCAAAAACTTGTTCCGCCGCTTGTGCAGGGAAAGCCCCTGGTGGGACAGCCGGTTTGTTTACCGGCCGTGTCCGCAGGCTCGGCCTATCGCGGCTCCCACTGGCCTGGAGCAGCGAACCGCAGCCACTAGGAGCCACGATCAGCTGAACCTGTGGACATAGCAGGCAAACAAACTGGCCCGGCCCACTAGGGGCTTTCCCTGCACAAGCAGCAGAACAAGTTGGGGAACCACTGATGGAAAACATTGAGACTCTGTTGTCCGTCAAGACTCTGACCACTCTGCCAAACAGGTGAGATAGGAAGACTGTGCACCGCCCTGAGCTCTGATGTTTATGTGTATTGTCATTTCCTCTGGGAACCACATACCCTGGGTCTGGAGAGTGCTGAGACGTGCCCCCCTGCCAGTCGAGGTCCGAGGCGTACGAAACCAACTCGACTGAGTGAGAAGTGCTGACGAAGGGAACTCCTTCCAGGACTTTCCTGGGGTTGGTCCATCATCACAACGAGGTAAGTACTGCTGCGGAGATGGTAACATCCGGAGCTTGGCGTGGCGCACCACCCATGTACACGCTGCCATGTGACCTAGTAGGCTCAGGCAAACCATGAGACTTCCGCGACAAGGTCCATCAATGCCCTGAATCTCTCCAGCAGCACGGGCTGCTCTGATGAACTCTATCCTCTGTACCAGAACTAATGTGGATTTTTGTTCTTCTTTACCAACAGGTCGAAGCAACTGCAAGTGGCTAACAGCATCGCAACATCTCTTTGGACCTGGAGCTGCCTATGACTAGCCAGTCGTTGAGGTTCGGGTAGCTCTGGACACCACAACGTCTGAGGTAAGCAGCCACCACCGACATGCACTTAATAAATATCTGCAGTGCTGTCGCTAGGCCAAACGGGAGGACAGCAAACTGATAGTGATATGGACCTACAGCAAACCAGAGGAAGCATCTGTGTCCCTTGAAGAGGGCAATGCGAGAGTATGCATCTTTCAGATCCAGCTCAGCGTACCAGTCTCCCGGATCCACGGAGGCCAGGGAGACCATGCTGAACTTCAGCTTCACTAGGAAGCGGTTCAAGTCTTGCAGGTCCAGGATAGGTTGTAAAAATAGCAAGAACAGAACCCCTTGTTCCTGTACTCTGGAGGAATGACCTCCACCGAACCTATCTGCAGTAACCCCTCTACCTCCTGCACGAGGAGACTCTCATGAGAAGGGTCCCTAAAGAGGGGCAGGGAGAGGGGGTGGAAAGGAGGAGTAGAAAGCAACTGAAGGGTGCAACCCCGCACCACCGTACTGAGAACCCATTGGTCTGATGTTATAGATGCCAACACAGGGAGGAAAGGAGAAAGGCAACTGGCAAAAATAGGGGAGGACGGATCCTGGAACAGTCCGGTAAGTCACCTTGGGCGTACCCTCAAAATGGGCATTTCTCCGCCTGCTTATTGCAAGTAGAGCTCGACTGAGAAGCCTGCAAAGGCTAGTGGCTAGGCAGCTGCTTGTAGCCTCTGGATTTCTTTTGGGGAGGCTCCTGGCGAGGGTGGCTTCCCTGGCCCTGATGCTGCTGTGGCTTGAACGGCATGCAGGCAGGGTCAGGAACACACAGGCCCCTTTTAAGAGTTGTGTGGGAGTCCTTGAGGCCATGGAGCTTATTGTCCATCTGTTCTGCAAACTGGGCTTGCCCATCGAAGGGAAGGTCTTGCATCGACTGCTGAGCCTCCGTGGATAAGCCGAAGAGGAGCAGCCAGGATGTCCGGCGCATAGCAACGGCCAAAACCATGGTTCAGGCGGCAGTGTCCGCCGCATCCAACGCTGCCTGGAGTGTCGCCCTGGCCGCAGTTATGCTCTCCTCCACCTAAGTTGGATGGACATGAGCAACCACTTGAAGAAGAACATTTATTCTACATTTAGTTGACATAAATTAGAAAAGTTAACTACAGGAACCTAAAGCGTTTTTTTAAGCCTAACTTTAGCTGAGACGGTCTGACCCATTCAGAGATTAGCATGCTTTTTTTGCTTTATTTTCTGTAATCTCAAAGTAGAATTATAAGGACTCCAAACTTCAGTTTGATTTAAAAATAAAAAAGATTCTGGATGAATGAAGTGCAGTTAAGAAACTGTAGAATGAACAGCAGGACAGTTTTCAGTTGAGAATATACTTGGTCACTAAGAATCCAGAATGTTGCAAAAAGGCAGGTGAGTTCTAAATGGTTTGGAAGATAAAGTTAGGGTTGTTCTGTACTTCCTTCTCACAGTTTATCTCCCAGTTTATGTCTCAAACTGGAGATTCTATTTCCATGAAAGATGCTTCTGATTTTGAGTTCCTATAGGATCTTAAGTCTACCGTATACTTATACTGCTAGAAAATATACTGAAAAAAGTAAACAATGGGAACAAATGCTGAAAGCATTTTTTTGTTCTTTCAACACCAACTACACTATTATTAGTGAAGGTAATTTGATTAACTTGTTCCATTATGCTGTTCTGAGGAAATATGTTGACACTGTCTCTATCAAATACAGAACTCCTCAATGTACTGTACCCATTTTATAAAGAAGCATATTTACTTTACCTGTTTTTTCTTCTGTGCTTCATTAGAGTCTAGAATGGAAGTGGAAACAACAGGCAAAGATTTCTGTGCTGCCTTCAAAGCAGCAGGATTGTATACAGTTTTAGTCAAGCCAGTAGACGTGGACAATACCTATAGGAGGAAATCATTTTATTATGTCAATTTTTAGATTTTTTTTTAAACAAGAGTGCTTCAAAATGCATTGGCTTTTCCACAATATAGACACCTTTTGCCTCCTTTGATTATAATTCATTACCATATCAAAATTAAAGTAACAAACATGTCTGGAGTAGATTGGAGTTAAATGATAAACAAAAATGCAGCATTACATCAACTATCTGCTTTAGCTAGTTAGGCTACTTTGGAATGGTCATACCCATGTTTAAATAAATACCACAAAAATGCAGGTATGACCTTACTTGCCTCATTAGGAGGCCACTGCATCTATATAAAGGGCATTTAAATAGCTTCAATATAACTTAGGAGAAAGTTAAAATTAAAAGCTGCATACAGATTGCTGGTGAGTCCACTGGTCAGCCATGTATGTACTCCATAAAAAAGATACCAAGAGAAAACAGTGACAGGAAGGAAACAGCAAAAAGAAATGAATTAGAAGGTCAGCTACAAATAAAAGAGGGATTTACAACTGAAATGTATCACAAAAAGGGCATTACAACTTTTTTCTACTATTACCTCTACTCCTTCCACTAGAAAAGTATTTTCTAGAGTGGATGTGTTGAGAGTAGAAAAAAATCGAAGCTTTATTATCCATGTCAATTGTGAAAGCCCATAAGAAGTGCCTTAGTAGGCCAATCAGAGATGAGATGAAATGCTGCTTTAACTAGTTACAAAAAATTCCACTCCTCCAAACTGTACTTCTACAAATGCCTTCAGGACAGTCTGCTTCACAAACAGCAGGAAACCAATGAACGAAAAAAATGCTGATATTTGCCTTAAATCCAGTCTTATCTCCTGAAGTTTTGGCTACTACTGCCATGACACACAGAAACAAAGATTAATCAGAAGCCATTTAACAAAAAAGGAGAGACCAGCTAAACTACTTAAATATTACTTAAAAATGTATTTGCAATTTAAGTTCAACCAAGTAACGTGCTAACAATTTAGGCTCTAGAATAGATATTCTAGAAGGAGTTCAGACAAATCGTTGGTAGTAGAAAGCATACAACCCAATATCTGAAGTTCAAAATGTGAAATAGTAGTACATGCCCCATTGCATTTTATTCCCATTGCAATTTAACCATTCATTGAGCAAAGTATACTTGCTGTATACTTTCTCTGAGACTACTTTTAGCAGTTAATTGCAGGGCTTTGGAGCGGAGCCCGCGGAGCAGCTCCGGAGCAGTGGAGCCGCAGGTTTTTGCCTGGAACTGGAGCGGAGCTGGAGCACAGCTCCAAAGCCCTGGTTAATTGTGTTTCAATTAGGTATTTATGATAAGGACAAAGTTCAAACAAAATTAAATTTTGTATCAAGGATACAGCTGATATACAAATGTGAGTAGAAGGAATAATCAGACATGCATTTTCTTACCTTCTCTGTTGCTGGAGCAGGCAGTTTTGACACAAAACCCAGTCTATCTTTCACAGATAATTTAGTCACATTCTAACAAGAAGAAAAAATAATTAGTTCTTTTCTAACCCTGTGTAATTGTATAAGATTATAACTAAGTGCTAAAGTTTTAACTGTACAATGCTGAATGCAGACTATAACAAAAAGGGTTCTGCGAAGTCTGGAGGATTTTTTTTAAGATCTAAAAATTATCAGATTTTAAGTGTGACAATCCAGTTAAAATGGTATAAGATATATTCCTTGAATATAAGAGCTGTCTGGTAAGATAGGCACTGATTCCAAAATGAACTGCCATGACAAGGATTTGCCCAAACGCATCCAACTGTAGCATCAGGGGGCCTTATTTTGGAAAAAGTATGTTTCACACTAGCAGACCAAGGAGTATCTCTGTAGGCACTTACAAATAAATCACAATTTAAAAGGAAATCCTGCTCAAGTTAGAACATTATAAGTTGCAGTTTCCAGATATCAATTGCAAAGAGCTGCTTTCAGGACTTCTGCATTTTCTGAATTCTAAACTAAGGTTTTCGGATAAAGTAATTGTCCGATGCTGAAAATGTCTACTTATAGACATGATCCAATACTTGAAGAGTATTTAAAGGTAGAGATTAATCTTGCAATCTTTCAGGAATCATAGTGTGTACTATGGTGCTTTGCCTCCTTTAAAATTCTTGGAAACATTTCCAAACCACAAGCTGACCATCTGTTCGTAATGCTGCTGGTGAGCTGGCAAAGATATTGACTGTCAAAAGCCTGAAACATCGATTAGATCTGTTGATTTTTGGCAGGTGAAGATTCTAACTGCTTCTGCAGACAAGTTAAGCACCATATGAACTAGAATCTGACCTATCTCTGCCACCTGTTAATGACTAGTCCCCTAAAACAGTGCTCCAAGCAGTCTAACTGTGAAGATAGACAGGACAAAACCCACCACAGGATAGCACCTCATACCATTTTCAATGCAGGTTCAACAGGAGCAATTACTGACAACCATCATCATCAAGAATCTAAGTATGCGACTTCAGAAGGAGGAGACAGTTAAAACCCAAAGATAATGGTTACTGAAGGAAGTTGGCAACACTAATAGCCCATCTTCATTCAGAAAGCTCTATCTCCTCTAAGGATATTCTGCATTAGCGCTCAAGTTACGGAACAAAGATCTTACATTTAGATGCCCCATCCTTTTCCAACCTGCACAGGTATGAGTTCTCCCATGTATTTGGTACAAAATGAAAATACATGCTAGAAAATACATGTTCTCTTATTTAATGAGAAAGCAGCTGTCCTAGACCTGCTCCACACTTGAAAATTAGATCAGGCTAACTATGTCGCTCAGGGCTGTGAAAAATTTCATGTCCTGTGCAACACAGTACGGTCAACCTAACCCACACTTTAGACGCAGCTAGGTCGACAAGAACTCCTCTGTCAACAAAGCTACCCCGTCTCAGAGAGGTGAATTAACTACATTGATGGAAAAACCCCTTCCATCGATGCATGAAGTGTCTACACTATATCGGCATTGCTGCAGAACTTGTGGAGTGCAGACGGGGCCTTACTAATGTGTTTAAAATTTTGCTCATGCAGACAGTTTGGGTCCAGCCCTGCAAGTCAACAGGGCTCTATGAAGGCACAGTGAATTCCAAGAAAGTGGACTCAATAGTTTCCACGGCTTTTACTACAGTGGACTGACATTTAGGAGATGAATTGGACAAGTATATTTGGTTTCCTATTTATCTTGATTTCTACCACATATTTTGCTACCTAAAATAAATGAGTGAATATTGAAACAAAAAACGTTTAAAGTGACAATTCTTAACAAATGCTACACTGTGCAAGTATTAGCTGTTTCACAATTTAATGCAAATATTAAGAAAATACTTGTACAATCAGAACAGGATTATATACAACAAAATAAAAGGATATCAATTGTATGACCTATGTTTGCTCCAATACATTAGAAATTTAAAGGTGAAAGCTTTATTTGGTCAAGCTTTTCGTTAACCTATTTTAATAGAGGTGTTTTTTTTTTCCTGATAATATGCAAATTATTCTGTTGTGAAATCTTTATACTACTGTTTTATTATTCTGTGAAAGATTATTTTTCATGATGTGCCCGAATGCTTTAGCAATGGGAAGGTAGAAATAGCTCAACAAATTTAATCCATTCCCCAGAACTGTGACAAGATTTACTCTGTCCAACATAGCAACATAAAACAAAAATTAGGTATTCAGCATCTAAAAATTGGTCTTTAAAATGAGTTCAGAGGCACTACCATACCAACCACTATGTTGCAACTCAGGGTGATGCAAGAGAGATAGCTAGGTTTTTATCAAAAAACAAAAGCTGATTTCAAAATGCTGAAAAAAGTAGTTTCTTTATTAAATATATAACATGGACAGAAATGTTTTCAAGTTTTTAGAAAATTTCATTGAAAAACTAGGAGATAATCTTCTGCAGTGCTGCAAACCCAAACAGAACTAGCCAAATATCATTAGATTTAGAAAGACTCTCCAGAAATGTTACTCATACAAAAATACAGATACATTCATGTGATAAATGCACATTTTTATATGGTGTCCTCTACAACTACATTATATCTATGCATACATTTTTGAGTTATGAAAACATTACAAACATATCATGAGGAAAGATATTATTTTAATTACGTATCACAGACATTTCTCTAGGCAAGCTATACATACCTGAGCAATTTCTGTACTGGCACTCTGAGCCTCTGCGGGCTCAATATTACTTGCAGGTACAGGACCTAATCGCTCTTTGACCGACTGCTTCACTGGTAAACTGGGTTGCTGAACTAAAGGCTGTATTACCTTCAAAGAAGGAAAAAAAAAAATCTTTTAAATCAAAGCACACTAACATACTAACAACAAGGGATTGCTGCCTATGTAGACCAATAAAGGTACAATGAAGCTGCTACTGTTGCCTTTTAAATTTACAGTATTTCCTTTCTACCATTATAAAATTTTACCCTTGCTACCAAAAGAAGCACCTTCATTGAGTAATTGCATAGTATTTACAGTAATTGGACTTATCACTCAAGGGATTTTTGTGCATAAATTCATATTCATGGATACCTATATACCTCAGACTCAGACTTTAATGCCCAGAAGGAACTATCGTGATCATCTAGTTTAACCTTCCCATCATAGGCCACAGAACCTCACCCACCCTCTCCTATTATAGATCAATAACCTCTGGCTGAGCTACTGAAGTCCTCAAATCATGATTTAGAGACCAAGAATTCACCATTTACTTTAGGTTAAACCAGCAAATGACCGGGGCCCCATGCTGCAAAGGAAGGTGAAAACCCCCCAGGACTCTGCCAATCTGACCTGGGGAAAAATGGTTTCCAAACTGCAAATACAGCAATCAGTTAGATTGTTAGATCTTGAGCATGTGGGCAAGATCCACCAGACACGTACCTGGAAGAGAGTTCAGTGTAGCAACTCAGAGCCCTCCCCATCCAGTGCCTCATCCCCAGCAGTTTGGGATATTTGTTACTAGAAGTCACTAGGGTAGGGTGTCTCCTTCAAGGAGTCCCTGTGCACTTTTTTCAAACTGTTCTCCATGAAGTGTGCTGATTTTATAAAGATATTTTTCTTTTAATATACATGCTTGGGATAATGTATGCCCTTTTATTCTATATTTAAGAGTAGTTTATTTCAATGTATCTCAGAGCTATTCACACTGAACGATGATGTCCCTGCCCACTGCCTGAAGTATAGAGTCCTGTCCTTTCTGCTGTTTTTAGGGTTTATTTCTCTGTTGTTAATAGCTGCATTTCTATTCACCACTAATCATTTTGGATACAATTTTCTTAACTTTGATCTGTTAAAACTGGCAAGTGACATTGAAAAAATAGTAAGAGCCATACTTCTGTGCCTCTCATGAAGTTAGATTATCCTCTTCTACTTCCACTGTTTATTTGCTAAAAGACAGGGAAAAAAACACCTGCAATGACAGATCTCTGCAGTTTTGATAATGACCTTGGTATTTATACACCAATTTTTATCCCTCAGCTGTTTAGATTACAGAAGGATAAAAGGTGGGGAAAAAGTCTTCCCCCTGCAAGAGCAAGTCTACTAGGACTTTTTTGAACTAGACTGCAGCACAACGAACTGGTCTTTGAAACACATGATGATCACTATCCAAACTCTCTCTGCTTGGTATGGCCAAAAAAAAAATTCAAGTTGTATAAGACTGAAAAGTGTTTCTGAGCATGCTCACAGGCATTTGATAAGAATTATTTAGCAGAGCCCGAGTGAAAACCATCTTTATCATCAGTAGCATTTCTCCCTGTGGGCACAGGAGGCTGAGTGGGACAGGAGCTGCTGCCAGGACAATTTACAAGACAACAGGTCATTGAAAAACAAACCACTTACTTTTAATTCAAAAGTGCCTTTTTCATATATGGAAAAAATTGTGGACCACACAGTTACAGATACAGAAAAAATTACCACAGAATCTGGAGGCATCAGAAATCTAGATAAAAATCTGCATTTTGTAAAAGGGAATATTTGTTCTGATATAAATTGCAGATATGAGACCAGATATTAATTCAAATAAACAAAAGATACAGATATTCATGGTCCTGAGGTCCAGATTAAAGAGTACAAAAATCTGAGGTTGGAGGGGAGCTTCTGAGACCCCATAACCACTGGGAGGGTCTACTTGGCAGACACTCCATCCCCAATCTGCAAAGCTTAGCAGAATCCTTATTAGGCTGATCACACCTCCAATCAAGCCAAACATTGGCTCACCTGGTGATTAACAACCTAACAAGGCTTGTAAATTATCACTAAGGAGAACCCTAAATCTCACTTTGAGTTCTCCCCATTCGATGAATTGAGCTATAGCTCACAAAAGCTTATGCTCAAATAAATTTGTTAGTCTCTAAGGTGCCACAAGTCCTCCTTTTCTTTTTCCCCATACGTGTGGAACTCAGGGGGTCCATAAAAAGCGAAGTATCCCCCCCATCACTTCCCTCCAAATCCCATGTTCTCTAAAAGCACACGTCTGATGTACTCCCTTCCTACAGAAAGCGTACACTCCTATATTCCTACAGGAGCACCTCTGTACAGAAGTACATTCCACCACACTTTCCTACAGGAGTGAGCATGTACATCAGGAAAGAGGGCAGGGAAAACAAGGTCTTGGGGGGTGTTTAGCAGAACAGAGATATTCTCTCATAAAAACAAGATGCAAAGTACAAGAAAGGCTGTCTATTTATGCTACAAGAAAAAGGCTATGTCACGTAAAAACAATTATGTCATTTAGCAGAGCAGACACTAGTTTCGATCCTTGCTTTATCTCAGAAGAACAGAAATTACATGGATTGAAATATTCCACAAGTCGTATAATAGTACTTAGGAAAGACTATTATGTAAGATTTAATTCATATTTTCCTAATCAGCTCTTGAACCTTATACCTGAGACCGAAAAGCAAGGCTCTGTTATAAAACTTCTAAATAAAATCAAAAGGAGTACTTGTGGCACCTTAGAGACTAACCAATTTATTTGAGCATGAGCTTTCCTGAGCTGCTGGTAATAAGGAGAGCAGCAGGAGAGTGAGTTTTTGTGTGTGTGTGGCCCAACTTGATGATCACTTTAGATAAGCTATTACTAGCAGGAGAGGGGGGTGGGAGGAGGCATTGTTTCATGGTCTCTGTGTATATAATGTCTTCTGCAGTTTCCACAGTATGCATCCGAGGAAGTGAGCTGTAGCTCACGGAAGCTCATGCTCAAATAAATTGGTTAGTCTCTAAGGTGCCACAAGTACTCCTTTTCTTTTTGCGAATACAGACTAACACGGCTGTTACTCTGAAACCTAAATAAAATCAGTTACTCCTAGTGTTAGTAGTTACTGTTCTTTTAAAATTTATACTATTAAACTGTCTTGTCTATATTCCAGTAATTTAATTGCAATGACCAATTTTAACAACATTTAGATAAATTCCAGTACACAGACTTAACTCCTTTACCTTTTGCATGGTAGCTGACATTTGTGGAGCACTGCCTTCTCGATGCCAATAGACTTTAATAAAGCGATTATTTAATACTGCTTCTGTGCTTGATATAGCTTTCTTTGCTTCTTCATGGGTGGCAAACTGGATAAGGGCACCTTCTGGATCACCATGATAGGCAACCTAAGATTTCATACTGAAAAGTCAAACTTACACAGCAGTTCCTACAAAACATACTTAAACTGACATGTCGGTCAATACTACCATGAAACCATTATTTTCAGGAACTCAAAAGCTTCCAATTTAAATGCAGTATCAGTTAGGTATTTGGTGTTCTTAACTTTAAACTTAAAAGATTTATTGTTAGTATTAGTTTACAGAAGTCAGTTTGGCTGTTATTAAAGACAGGGAGTCAAAGAAAAGATATGAGGTTACTTACATACCTGTAAATTAAAACACACCAATTTTAAACCAGATACCTTCATATACAAATAGTCCTTACTGAAAATTAGTGCCTCTTGCTATTGAACAATTAAAAAAAGAAGTACAAACTAATCTTATGGGACACAATATTATGGGGTTCATATACATCTGCACTCTGATTTAATGTGGTTTCTGTATATATAATTGTATGCGAGGACACCCAAGGATAACAAGCCTGCTCTCTTTTCAGTCAATTACAAATCTATGTGCAACAAATCAAGCCTAAGAAAAATTTTATTAGTATCTTCCCAATGTATTATTAAAACTTCACCACCATCACGCCTTCCAAGATTGCTTTTTTGTATTTTAAATTGAAATATCCAGCACACAATTGAAATATCTCAAGTTTCTACAGTATATATAGCTTACGGATGCCAAGATATATACACAACATCGCAGTATAAAAGTAAACCAATATACTGGTCACAGTATACATACACATGTAGACCAGTGAGTAGTCACTTGGCAAAAAATCCTATATCTTCTGTATCTTCCAAACAGCTGAGAAAAATGACTAATTATTCCCTCTTCTGGCATAACAGAACTTATTCAGTAGCAGCTTCATAATGATGGTTATAATCAGAAAACTATGTATGAAAAACTATACAGGCAAATTTTTGAAGAATCAAGTGTGGATGGAGCCACGACTACAGTGGAGGTGAGAAGATATAAGAAAGCAGAATGGCCCCAACCAAAACACATGGAGGTTAGTTGAAGAGATGAAAGAACTAAAGAAGAGAATTCAGCACGCATGAGACCATAGTAAAAGAGCTATCCTGCAATAAGAGCATGCAGACAAAGACAAGGAAGTTAAAAGATCAGCCAGAACAGATAAGAAAATGGATGGAAAATGAAGCAAAAGAAACCGAGGTGGTGTACAAGGCAGGGTATTCTAAAAATCTTTTTCAAAGAGCTAAACAACAGACATCACAATTCTCAAACTGTTGTGGCATCATGAAAGCTCGAGATGGTACAATTTAATTGGAGAGGAAGGTTTGTGAACAGATTGAATGGAATATTTCGAGACTGTGCTCACCCAGCTAGAACCACTAACACACTCAAAGAAGTGAAGAAATAGCAGACTTACCTATATCACTAGAAGTAATTGCCTTTGAGGAAGTAACTGAGGTCATAAACCAGCTGAAGAGTGGTAAAACATCAGGTTATGATAAGACAGATGATGTTAAAAGCAGGAGAGGAAATTATGGTGAATTACATGGGTAGCTTGTATAGAATAGCTTGGGGAAAGGAGATCTGTCCTGAAGACTGGAGAAGATATGTCATCTATGAAATCCTTAAAAAGGGGGACTAGCTTATTTGTGATAACTGCAGAGAGGTACCACTCCTATCGGTATCCGAAGAAGTGTTTTGCACTACCATTTTGAATAGGATGAAAACTGCTTTTGAAAAAGTACTTTGGGACAGGCTAGATTTCAATCTGGTAGGTTGTGTTCAGACCAGATTTTCACACTGAGAAGAGCTACTGAGAAAGATTTAGAATACCAGAAGATTATTTTAAACTTTTGATTTTACTAGAGCATTTGATAACGTCCACAGAAAAGCCCTCTAGAGGATACTCAGACACTATGAAATTCCAGCAATGATTGTTAATTCGGTAAAAACTGTGTGTGACAAATGGAGACAGAATAGTTTAAAATTGTTACTGATGTACAGCAGGGTTGCATACTATCCCTGTTACTCCCGTGCACTGTCACAGACTTTGTGATGAGAAGAGCAACTGCTGCTGCCAAAGACACAGGTATTGTTTGGATGAGAGATAAGCTGCGAGACTTAGATTTTACAAACTATATACAGTAACTCCTCATTTAATGTCATCTTGGTTAACGTTACGTCGCTGATCAATTACTGAACATGCTTGTTTAAAGTTTGGCAATGCTCCCTTATAACATTATTTGGCAGCTGCCTGCTTTGTCCACTGCTTGCAGAAAGGGCGGCCCGTTGGAGCTAGCTGGCGGGGGCTTGGAATCAGGGTGGACCAGCAGCCCCCGCACCAGCTCCCGTAAGTTCCCTGTGCGGCAGCCACCCAGCAGGCTATCAATTGCTGAGCAGTTCAGCTGTCCCTCCCCCAATTGCTCCTGCCCTCTGCCTTGGAGCTGCTCCCGGGAGCCTCCTGCTTGCTGTGGTGGGGAAGTGAGGGAGGGAGGGAGAGAGAGATAGGGGTGCTAATGTCGGGGTGTCCCCCTCCCCCTGTACCGCATCTTCACAGAGCAGGGGGGAACACACAACAGGGCTCAGGACTGAGGGAGCTTGCTGGCAGCAGCTGCTGTCTCAACTTGCTGATCTACTTAAAAAGGCAATGTGGGGTCAGCGTACTTAGAGGGGCAATGCGCGTCTCTCTCTCTCACACACACGTCTCTCTCTGCCATGCTGCGTCTCCTCCCTCCATTAGTGCTGCCTGGTAGAGTGTGAGACTACATTAACAATGTGTTAATCCTCGAGGGCTCAGCCGAGTGCTAGTTCATCATTTAGCAGTAAGGCATAATTTCCCTGGAACCTAACCCTGCCCTATTTCCATTCTTATGGGGAAATTGGGTTCGCTTAACACAGTTTCGCTTAAACTGGCATTTTTCAAGAACATAACTACAATGTTAAGCGAGGAGTTACTGTAGTCATATTGGACACAAACTTGGATGGAATAAAAAGAATTGTTAATGAGCATAAAAGCAGAAGCTGCTAAAGTGGGATTCATTCAGTATGCAGAAGACCAAAACCACGGAGATAAGAGAGAGCACTGTCAAGAGTTGATGACTTCTGTCTATCTTGGAAGTACAATATCTGCTAATGGCCAGCTCACTAAAAAACTGAAGGCAAGAACTGAGAAAGTAGTGGATCATTTTCTCATATGTCAAACATCTGGGGAGTAAGATGACACAGCTACACATTAAAATGATATTATACAAAGTTACTGTTCTTTTGACAGTACAGTATGCCTCAAAAACATGGCAGATGGTGAAAGTACACAACAGAAAGCTGAATATATTCCACCAACTTTATTTAAGAAGAATCTTGGGAATTTATCGGAGAGACTGTGAAAACAAAGTGGAAGTGTTGTGCTGCATGTGTCAGTAGCCTGCCTTCTCAATAATTAGACAGCTACGGTGGTTTGGCCATGTCATCAGGCTATCCTGTGGCAGAAGTACAACATAAGTCTTACACTGGATTCCACCTAGAGGGAAAAGAGCATGCAGGACAAAAGACAGACTAATCAAAGGACAATCAGAAATAATGCTGCCATTATGGAGACAACTTGCGATGGAATCAAACATCTTGCGCTGGACAAGGGTGGGAATACTGGGTTGCCTTACGTGCCACTAGGCATACGAGATTACGTCCAAGTCACTCAAATAAAAAAGCAATTAATAGATCAAACAATTTATATTACAGTTAGTTTAAAGTTATATTTTGAAATTTTAGAAGTTTTTGCTGTCTAGCAAAAATAGCGTATCTGGAAACATTTTATATAACTAAACATAGTAAAATGCAATGCATAGGCCAATTTTAACAAAATGAATTGTTTTAAAGTCTGCCTTGTCCAACGTAATGATGTGCATTAGGCCTAGGTATATTTTATAAATACTATACAGGGCAAGGAGAGGTGGAATCCTTGTAATGATGGAGGAATTCAGGCTCCTGAGAAAACTTGAAGAGCTGTACAAGCTTCCAGAGACCAGACAAAGCCAGCAAAGCATGTAGGTAAGAGTTTCTAAGGAGAAGTGTGGGGACCCAGCAACAATGCAGAGCTCCTACATTCTGCAGGCCACGAAGAGATGGGGACATTGCAGAAGTTCGGAACTCTACTTCGGCCCAATGTTTTGAAAGCCACAAGGAAATTAACAGATAAACATCCTTAATGTCAAGAAGCAACTTTACCTGAAAGCTGAAGTAAATGTACGCATACCAAAGATGGTTTAAAAAAAACTGAACAAAACAAAGAAGGCTGCTAAATGGTCAAATACCCTAATATTTCACACAGTTTTAAATAAATGTACAAAACAAATGTAGCCACTGGGAAGGCTGAGGGGAGATTACCTCACAGTAAGGAAGATTCTATACATAGTCATTACAGGAATTACGTGGAAACTCAATCTCTTTACCAGGTTTTGATGTTTGGCTATATAAGACCAGTTCGATTTTTAATATATTTTGCACACCTTGAAGAATAAAAGCCAAAGCCTTTAGAAGTAACATGAGCAGCCAGAAAGACTTGGGTTATTCATCTTGCTGAATCATACTACTTGCTTAAACTACGGTACTCTGATGTATAAGATTTTAAGGAAGAGAGAGTTAGGATAAAGGCAGCTGCATGTTATAGTGGAGTTTCCTGTATGTATAGGGAGAATGGAGAGGGTAGACTAGGCTGTCTACCTCGTAGCAGAAAGGTGGATGCAGAATATTTTTTCTAAATGGCACCACTATATAAAAAGATAAGAGTATGTTGTGGTCTCTTCACAATGTGAAGTTGGGGCAAGGGAGTGTCTGTACATATAAAGATCTGGCACCTCAGGTTAACTAGAGGATGGTCTGTGTACCATGCATTGAATGTGCAGTCAAACATGATGGAGGGCAACAGTGAGCATCTCTGATCTAGTCTGAGAGACCGGGTACAAGAGCAAAAAGTTAATATTGATATTTCATATGTATATTTCTAAGCAGCAATTGATGTGACGGTACTTGAATATTCATCACATATCTACACTCCATTGTTCATATTTTCTATTTTTAAATATGCTTGGTTAAAAAGTCTACCAGTCTTCTGTGTACGTGTCAATGTCAAGAAGAAACCATAAATTAATTATGGAAGTTGAGAAATCCAGGTCTTGTATACTCAGATTATCCTGAAAAACTGTGGAAGGTTGGGAAAATAGCTTGATTATTACAGTTGAAGAGGGAAAGGACTGTTTGGTCAGACTGGTTTTAAAAGTTTTAAATTATTTATCTTAAGTGCCAGACAAAATAGCTGAGGGGAAGATCTTAGTTAAAATATAAACCCCTGGAACCTTCGTTTAAGGACTGAGGAAGCTCTCGTTTTTGAGCTTACAAGGAGATTTCCATGAAAAACAAAAGAGAAGACTTTATATTAATAATAATTTGAAAGTAAAAAAAAAAAAAAAGGCAGAAAAAATGCAAAAGCTTTCAGGCTTTCATTAATTATAAAGCAGCAAAAAAAAAGAGCCCACGCTTATTTTATTCCCATTTGTGAGTCCCTTTAATATAAGAAATTATCACAGAACACTGAATTTTGTGGCTTTTACCTGTAAGTTGACTAAGTTTCCAAATTTGCTGAAGTGCTCATTAAGTTTGCTGATATTGTTAAGTTCTGGAGGAACTTTCCTCAATTCAAGCTTCGTATTCTCATTTCCAAACTGCACCTTCTTCTGAAAACCTGGATTGTTTGTTCTGTTAAAGTTTTGCCTGCAATAAAATTGAAAATCAAGTCAATCAGAATTCAAGACATTTTATAGACTTTTAAGCAACAAGTGGTTTAAAAAAATTTGAATCGTTGGCCAGATGCAAAATATTCTAATCTAATTTTTTCACTCCCAAGTATGCAAAATCAAAATCCTGACTGATGTATGAAGAATCCGACACTACTACACTCCTGTCATTAAAGAAGCGTTTTTGTGTGGAAAAGGTGATAGGTTGGCTAAAAAGAGCAGAGTGATAAGTTTTCAATGTTTATCTACTCAAGTCAATATTTAAGTCAAAACAATATCAATTAGATATGTAAATCACATATGTAAATAAGAGCATCCCACTTGGAAGGTAACTTTTCAGACCTCTCAACTTTATCTCACCATTAAAAGGAAGGGAAATAAAATGGAAACTCATGCTGGGCTATCACACTTAGTGTCTCATCCCTCTAACATGAGTCATGTTAAATCACCTCATTTTTAAGATATTTGATCTTCTATGCCAGCTGTACAAGCTTGAGGGCCTACAGAATGTACGGTTACCTCAGAGGCCCGAGAACATTCCAACCAGTTCATTTCAGAGCAGGAAACAAGAACTCCCCTAAAGTTCAAGAGCATTATTAAACTGAACATAGTTTTAATGACGAGCACTCACTTGTCAAACCAAGCCTTCTTTGTAGGAATTCCTCCATCTCCTGCACCAATTGATCTTTTCCTGGACTCAGAATCCACCACAATTCTCATACTGTTTTTATTCTGAGGTTTTTCTATATGTAAATGGGAGATTGCATAAATTTTTAATTTATATTTTCTGTGCATTTTGTTGTCGTAAGACTTTTGTTGTTCATAACTATTAACTGACTTCACCCTGAGATTACAAGATGCCTTTTGATTTTTAGATCATAAGAACTCCTTTACTTGCTCAAAATAGTGATCTCAGCTAATCCAGCATTCTGTTTAATTCCCATATTGACAATTAAAGAAAGATTTCATCTTGCCCATACAGAAAGTTTCCTCCTAATCTCAGTTTATCACTGTATCATAAAGAACCTAATCTCATCTATATTGCCTCTATTTGAGAAATTTTTGTACGAACGCTAAATGAGGCAGAAGGCATCTGCCACAGACTGGACCCATCCTGTTCACAGCATTCTGTGCACTGCTCTGATCCTGCCACTATTTTTGTGGGAGCCTATATTACACCATGAGGTAGCAGATAATTGGAGAAGGGGCTAATGGTAAATGGGGCACTACTGAGAACCAAAAAACTAGGCACTAGCAAGGGAGTGGAACTTGTGACGATGAAAGAGAAGCCAAAATGCGAAGCCCCACCCCAACCCCACACCAAAATGTACAGATCTAAATTTGGATTGTATCCATCACCTCCCATTCTTTGTATTCCCTTGTCTTATTGGACAGTAAGACCTTTAGGCCAGGATTGTGCCTTCCTACGTGTGAACAAGTACATAATGGTTTACTTGTTTTATTTGCTATAAAATGGAGGAAAATTATCTGAATTTGTCTCATGATGTATTAAGCGGACACTTATAACAGCTAAAAAATGTGAAACCTCTACATTATCTCAATAGGTTTCATTGTACTAGCTTTCCTGAACCTTCAAAATAATGGATCAGTAACACGGAAGTCCAGATTATTCACAGTTTACCTATTTATAAACTGGTTTTAGTAGAAAAACAGAAAGAGCTTTATAATATTGCTATGATTTCTAACATTATAACTCTGTTTAGTTACCACTATTTGTATTAGCACTAGAATACGAAGAGTATGAATACGAATAGTATAAAAATCTTTTGCAGTACCTCTGGGGGGCAGATCCATATCACCTGATGTAAGTCCTATCAAATTAGGCCTTTGGGCATGCACTCTGTGCCTGTACATGGGCCTTGAAGTGTTCGTTATACTTGGAGCTTCAGGATTATAGGCATCTGTGTCATATGTTTCTGGTAATAAAGAAATTGTTTAGTTAAAATTACCTGCAGATTTAAAAATCCAAGTTCTCAATGGCTTAACGCTTTCTCAGATTAATATGAGAAATTGAAGAGTCAATTGTATAATTATAGCACTCTAGCAAATAGCCAAGTAAAGAATTTGTAAAATAGATTAAAATAGATTTTAAAAATTCTTCCCACCCTGACAACCTGAATGCAAAGTTTCAGGACAGAGTTAACAAAAAGCAGGGGGTTTCAAATTGATAACACAATGTGACCTTCAGAGGTACGAACCTATCTTTCCAAACAAAAGCATAACATCAAGCACCACCATACGATTATATTATTAATGAATGTTATTCTATTTTGCAAACACAGAATGCAGTGAATTTAGAAAGTTATTTCTGACTGAGAGCGAAGTGTCAGTACTACACCTGTTGCAAAGAGAGAGGGTGGAGCAGGAGGTGGCTGGTGATGAATACCAGTTGTAACAACAGTAGGAACGGAACTGGTTGCTGAGTTTGGAGGAGCATCCATGCCAGCAGGTTGTAAAGGTGGAAGTGGAGGAGGTGGTCCTGTCAAACCAGAAATAAAGAAAAATACTACATTAATATTTTTATTTGCTTGATAATGGTCTCAGCTACGCAAGGCCCCAGCTACCTCTGCAAAGAAATATGTTTGAAAGAAGGGGTTAAGAACAGTTCAAACATTCTATTGAATTGCACATAGTAACCGAAACTGCAATCAGTACCTCGTTATCTGTCGAAATAAATTTTTGACTAGTCAAATTGTTATGTTCCATAAAGACTACAGAAGCTTTATTTTACTGAATTTGTAAGATCTAACTTGTCTTTTCTCTCTTTTGTGCAACATAATGTTAGGAAGATTCAGGCCTTATGAACACTTGCAGAGGGACAAAATTTGAAAGTTTATTAATCTATTCACATGCTTTGCTCTGCAAGGTGGATTCTAACAATTTCGAGTGCTAGTGAGGATGGTTGTAATATGATATTGGCCCATCAATTCATTTTTAGTATTAAAATTGGATCTGGCAAAAAGACACTCATCAGAAAAGTTATCTTTGAAAAAAGTGAAATAGTAAGATTTATCATGAAAAATTACACCATCAATTTGAAATTGAGACATTTCAAGAGTTTAAAATAATTTCAGGTACTAATTGTTCTTGAATAGTTCTCCCAAATTATTGTGATTTGTACTTTGTTCTGTTTTTCCTCTTACTCATCAACAGAGGGAAAGTCACAAAACCAACAACAAGCCAAAGCTGAATATTTCAAAGCTGCCTAAAAGGTTTGGACACCCAATTCCCACTAAAATGAAAGAGTAACAGGCATCTAAATCTTAGACAGGCTTTGAAAATCTCAGCCAAAGCACTTCCAAATGCACACTTTTTTCCCCCTCTTTTCCCATTCTATAATGTTGGGCATCCCTAGTAAAAACAGGTTCAACATTTTTCAGACAAAAGTTTAATTTTTGAAGTTGCCTGTGTTCCTTTAACTTTGATAGTTCAAATGAAGTGCTCCATGTGTTGTGGATTCTAAAGTTTTCTCAGAAGCTGGCAACTTGAGCTTTGGAGATCAAATGTTTCAGGGATAGTATCATTAGAGCCAATAAAATGAATCCACTTTACCAATATTAACACACATATGCTGCAGGACTCACAGGTTAAGATGTGCAAATTAGAGTCCTAAAAGCACTTTAGAAAAAAAGCTACTTAAGGCCATTTTAATCTATTCAATACTAAATACAATTAGAACAAAGGTATTTTGCATCTTAAGAAATTTTATTTATTTTTTACCTGTAACAGGTGGAAGACTAGGTGGTAAAGGGCCTGGAGGTGGCACTGGCGGTCTAAGATTAACAGGTGGAGGACTTAAAATTGGTGGCGGGGGAGGAAGTCCAGGTGGAGGTGGTCCTTCAACAACAGGGGGCTGTGCTGGAAAAGGCAGGATGCCAGGAAGATTGACATCTTCTACAACTACTGGGTCACTTCCATGATCAAAGGGACACATGTCTCCTCTCATACAGAAACCCTTTTCTGAGAAATGAAAAGCACAATTAAATGTAACCAGCATTTAACAGGTGATGTTTGATCTTTAAGCAGATACTAAATATTCTGCACATAACGTAGCACTTAGAAATGTGAGACCTTTACATAACAATATAAATTACTTAAAAATTAGGAAGTGAACATCTGGTCATTTAGCATGATTTCTACCTACTCAATTTACAAACAGGCTTTGTTAGAGAGAGAGCCAATTTCTAACAAAGAGGCAAAAGAGGGGAACTTGGATGTTATGAAGTAGTATCCGAAAAGAGCAAGTTCCAGACTTTTGAAGTATAATCATGGATTTTTCCATGATCAGTAAGTTCAATGCAAACTTGGGGGGTAGGAGGGAGTGTTAACTAAGTGCAGAAAAAACTGGGATTGACAAAACATCTCCCTTTGAAAATATTTAGTATCTAATTATTGAATATTCAACACTAGAAATATTTTTATACTTGGACCATTGACTATCCTGCAATATTTATCCAAAAGCATCAAAATTCTTTGTTGCACTTTACAATGTACTTGCAGGAGAGTAAACAAAAACAGTTTTTTTGTTTTGGTTTTTCTAATAAGTACAGTACGCAGTTAAAGCAATTCTCTTCTCTTTTTACTGGTAGCTACAATGTTACTGGGTCTAGCAATATTCTCCATAAGCATTATAGGAACACCTGCTAAAACAGATAATATCCACAGGTAAAATAAGAGATACAAGCTTTAATTCTTCTCCATCCTTACCATTAGCAGATAAGGGTAGAAAAGGGTACAGTGGCCCGGCCTAGTTTCAGGAAGAATGATAGAACAGAAACTGGAAAACTCAGTTAGTAGGATTTCACTGTTTTACTAAAGTAGTTAGACTAAGGAGAAGAAATGTGTCTGGTAAAGATAATAAGGGTGTCAATTAGATTTAAAGAGGCAGAAAAGCTGCTCCAGGTGGTAAGGGCAGCATAACATAACAATCTAACCACTGAAGGAAGAGAGAGGAATGTAGGTAACAAACATCAGAACAGAGAGGGAGACAACGCCAAGGAAGATTCTGAAGACTGGGATCTTAGTATCAGATTTTGAAATGGACAAAACACAGGATGATTTAAAGGATAATAATTTTCAGACAATGATTAGGCGATCTTTGATATTTTCAGAAGACTGAACTTTGTAAAGTGATATCTAGGTGACCATAGAAAATGAGAAGAGAAAGAATCAGGTTTCAGCAATCGCAACTGATGAAGATGATACTTCAGAAGTGGAAGTACATAAATTCATGCACCTGAGAAATATGGAAGTTGAGTAGGGGATCAAATCAAACTTCTAGGGCCTAGTCCACAATAGAAAGGTATACAGGTATACCTACACTGACAAATGCTCCTAGTTTAGAAGCAGCTTAGAGCTACAAAAGCACTTCTTTGCCAGGATAACTGCATCTACACTAGGGCTTTTGCCAATATAAAAATCTTGCAAAAAAGAATCACACCTGTAACAGACGTTACTACTTCGGAAAAAGTTTTAAGTGTAAACCTGGCCTACATCCTCAACAGCTGTTGCCAATGTGAGATTTGACATGAGAAAATAGCTGGGACTGGTGGAACTCTGGCTAAAAACGCAATTCTTATTGGTTAAGAGGATATCTGCTTTGGATCAATCTGACTCACCAAGACAAATGCCAATTGTGCCAGAAAGATGAGTTGATAGAGGCAGAAAGTGTGCAAAATGATTAAATAGTGTAGAAGATATAGATTTCAGGTATTGCCTGTATAAACACAGCACTTAAGTTGGAAAAAAAAAAAAAAAGAGTGGTGTACTGAGAAGAAGAGCCTAAAATGTGAAGTTTAAGGTGGTCACTGACAGTGAAAAAAAATAAGCAGATAGGTAAGAAAAAAACCAACACCACAAAATGTCCAAGAGTTCCGTGAACAGGATCATGCCATAAGGTGGTGATTATGCTCAAAACTATTAAATACCGAACTAGGTTTGAGAGTGGTACCGAGTAAGAGATCACCACCAATAAGTTCATGTAATAAAAGAACAATGCCAGTAATGTGGAAGGGACAGAAACTATGCTGAAAACAACCAATGAGGTTGTTTAAGGATAAGTGATTATAAAGGTAAGTTTAGCTTTTAAGAATTTTGCTAGAAAAAGAGATTGAAAATGGGATGTAGAAGGAGACTGCTTTTGGGGTGGGAGTGCTAAAAGAAGGGGGCAGTGCAGATGTGAAGGGCAAAATTACATCAGTGACTGGCCACTATTGTTGCACATATGTTTAAGTATCTGAACTTACCATCATAATCTCTGCAGCGTTTCTTTGGCAGTGGAGGTCTTCCATATGAGTTGTGGTCCAACTGTTCTTCGTGGAACTCTGACCAACTTTCAGTAGTGTTATTACCATGATGAGTAGGAGCAATAACTGTAATAGTGCTACTCAGCGTAGGGACAGGGTAATGGCCAGATGAAATGTTTGTTACAGATGGAACTGGAGTATAATTGTTTTCTAATGGATCTGTTCTATCCAAATCATATTTTGGCTTTCCCAAATCTCTTTCTGTAAGAAAATAATATACTTGTTTAAAAGTAACAATATGTCGAAGATTGTAAGCTCCAAAATTAGGCCAACTGTTGGATTTGTATGTGTCTGTAAAATGCATACAATTCTTTATATACTGTTTCTTTCTTCCCCACCCTTGGGTTGATGGGGAGAAGAGGAAGAAAGAGGGAGGGAACAATTTCAACGCATGTTTGTAGTCAAGAAATAAATGTATTGGGGTAGTTCGTGTTAGTCCACAAAAAACAGCAAGGAGTCTGGTGGCACCTTAATAAATAGGGAATAAATGCATCACCAACAGTCCAGCACTCATGAGCAACTCTAAAACAAACCTGTATACAATGCTAGGAGAAAATAAATATGGAAAGTAAATACATAGTACTTTCAAACTTTTAAGGAATTATCAATCAGAAAAAATTATGAAGTTATCAAAGCACCTTGGCTAGGGTGTTTTAGATCTAAGATCATTATATACAGTGATGTGGATATACACCATTAAATGGAGAATTTAATTGTCAGTTGGAGTGGGAGTTTCGTGGGTGAATACTGTAAGGCAGAACTTCACATAGAGCTATATTTGGGCCTTACCAAATTCACAGACCATTTTGGTAAATTTCACGGTTTTTATATTAGTCAACTTCACAATTTCATCTGAAATGTCAGGGTGTTGTAACCGTGGGGGTCCCAACCCAAAACGGGATGGGGCGGGGGTGAAAATTATTGGGGGTGGGGGGGAAACAGGACACAGGATTGCCACTCTCACTTCTGTGCTGCCCTCAGAGCCCAGGTCTGAAGGCAGCAGCCACCAAGCTTCCTGAAGCTAGAGGAGGTTCCGAGAGATGGAGATGGGTCCAAGCTGCTGGCAGCACCTCAGCTGGAGGCTCCTAGCTGCTAGTCCCCTGATTAATGCAGGGGCCCTAGCCAATTTGGGGGACCCCAGAAAAATGGGCACCTATGCTCTGGCCAAAATTTCCAAACCTAGTACCGAAAAATTAAGTTCCTAAATCCATTTAGGCACATAAATAAAAATAACTTGAATTTCAAAGGTGCTGAGCACCTCAAGCTCTCATTCACTTACATTTGTTGACGCACATCAGAACTCTGAAAAAAAAAATCAGGATACTTGGTGCCTAAAATAAGGATTCTATCTTTAGGCACCCAAGTTTTAACATTTTGAACAACAGTCTTGTAGATACATGTATTAAGTAAAGAGCTGTTGTACTTCAAGACAAATACTGTTTTTCATACTAATCAACCCATATTTTTAAAGATTAACAAACACCTACCTCTGCTTCGTGTTCTGCTTCTACTTCTGCTCCTGCTCCTGTCCCTATCCCGGTCCCGCAATCGTTCCTTACTCCAACTTCTGCTTCGACTCCTGCTGTAGCTCCGACTCCGCCCTCTTCTTCTGTTGTACCTGTCTCTATATGAATCCCGTCTAGGGGGGTTACGGTCATAATCTCTCTTGCGAGAACGTTCATCTTTTTTTCTTTCCTCACGGCTTCTAAATATTTGGGGAATTAATTGTTATTTAAAAATAAGAACATTTTGAAAAGATAATTTAAAATGTAAACTCAAACCTTACAATAGCTACTAAAATCTCATCAAAACCATACTCTAAGAAACAAACACTGGAAAAATTCTGAAATGCTTAAAGCAGGAAATGAAACATTGGAATTTTCTGTACTGTAATGTAAAACTTTTAATAACTGCAGGTATTAAAAAGCCCAGTTCCCAGAGAATACGAGCACATACACATCTGGAGCTGATGTTACATTTGTTATGGACTTTTGGGCAGTTCTGATTGATTTTGAATGCATGCCTCTCACAGAGTATGAAATCTTTAACTATTAGTCCTCCTTTCTTACAAAAGGACTTGTTCAATCGTCTGATTGTGTAATTTTTTGTTGTATGAAAGCCTACTACCATTTCAGAAAAATGTAGGTAAAATACTGATTTTGTGCCAGGACTTATTGTCCCAGTACGGCATCTTCACCAAAGTAACAGCATAACAACTGAGAGTTACGAAGAGAATGACAGTGCTGTATTAAACAAAGTATTCAGATTAAATTTCAAAATTAGATGGGATATAGGTTGTAATATAACCAACCATTAACACTCAAATCTGTTTTGTAAACATTTCTTAAATTGAGTCCTGGTGATTTTTAGTTAATAAAAATCTGAACACAGTCTGCATTTTTACTTGTAAACTGTATTTATGTCAAGATTGCATATAAAAAAGCAATCCACAAAAGAGCTTGCTTCACAAGTACTCTATTAACATTTAGAAGCATATCACTACAGCAAAATGAAACACTGGACATGTCAACACCGCAAAAGGAAAATTTCAAAATTTAAGCCAATATAATTGGTTCTTGATATAATGCAAGAGTCAAACTAAGTTTATAATTACCTAGTTTCTCGGTACCGAGAGCTTGACTGAGGAGGGCTGTGATTTAGTCTTCTAGAAAACTTTTTTTCTCGCTCTTCCTCTTTAATTATCTGGATTTTAAAGTGTAAACAGGAAATCAAAGACAAGCACAACACACAAGGCTTTTTTAAACAGACATAACTAGAATAAAAATCTGAAATTCAGTTGTAGCTAAGTGAAGCGAGGCCTAACACTCAACTCGATGGCATCTCTATAACATGCTTTTTGAGACTGCCCGATCTATTCCAAAATTTCAGGAAATATTCTGAGCATCAATTAGAAAACCCTATTATTTTGATGACAGTTGTAAACTGGAACACCAGAATAGTCTAACTCCCACAAAGCCCATTTAGTGGAACATTGTGACACTCCCTCCAGTTTATCTGCATACTTCAATCCCATTGCTTGAAATGAATCCGGAAATAACATTGCAGGTCAGGACTGAGGTGATTGGACAGAGTTGGGAGGCACAGGGTTTGGGACTGGAATAGCAGGAACTGCTTCAGATCAGATGCTTATATCGAACAGGTTTAGGAGATCTGCCCTTTGTGTCGACACTATGTCTGACTCAGGAGTAGCAGTTACGTTTACTGTTACAAAATGAGCACTGTCAACGGGAGAGACACCAAGGCAGGCAGGAGTGTTAAAGGTTAAGGTTTTCTCCAGGTCAAAACAATTTTTTTGTTTTGTTACTTTTTCATTTGCTACAAGTTTTAAAAATATTTATTTTCAGGTCAACCCAAAATGAATTTTGGTTTCATTAGGGAATTAACAGCAAACCAAAAAAACAGTTATTAGCATAAGTCTAGTGATGACTGGCTGACCTACCTCTGATGTCACAATGCTACTGCTCAGGCTCCTCTGCCTGTAGCACCAATTGGCACTGAAATGGGGAAGTTGTTAAGAAACTGATAAAAGAGAAGCAGCGTGGATGTCCAAATGAAATTTAGATTTAGTGGAAGTATCCTGTAAAACTGCTACAGGTTCAGGGATACAAACTGCACTGCAAAGTATGATTTAAATTTTTACCTCTTCCTTTTTTATGTCTTTTTCTTGGTGTTGAAAAAATTCAACTTTTAGGCTTCCTGATGAGGGCTGCTCTGGTGGTGGTAGATAGCTCTTCGTATTCACAGCATCAAAAAGTTTTTCAACAAATATCTGGGTCTCTAAAGATTAAGGGAAAAACAAAGATACCAAGAAGCCATGAACGAATTCCTCTAACATCTGGCTATTTCAATCCTCTGCAGTCTGTTTAGATATAATGCAACTCTTCCCTTTGCTTACATTTACAAACCGCTGAATACTAGTCAGAAATATTATGCTTTTACTGGCAATGAAAATAATGGATACCAATTAACCTTCCAAATATATAGCTCACCAGGAACTGTTTCATAACAGTATGAACTGCATTGTTGAAAGTTATTTAACTTAATTGAAGATAGGGAAAAAAGCAGTCTGCTACATAAACTGTTTTTAATTGCTACAGAACATACTACTCTAACATACTGAACAATTTAGGCAGTGCAAATGTATTTAAAGATCAGTTTTGGATATCTTCCATTCCTGGACAACCAAGGGACAAAGAAAATAGAATCAAGATCATAAATATGGTTTTAATAGGACCATATATACACATGGTACTTTAAATAAGGCACTGCAAAACATTTAGAGATGGATTTTTGTACTAGGGCACTTACTCTGATTAAAGACATTAAAAAGTAGATCTTTAATACAACTGGTTTAAGAGCAGCGGCACAGGTGTAGCAAACAGAGCTGTAAACAGGGGAGTTTGAGTGGTAGTTCTGTTGGAGAAGGGAGGAAACAAGCTTCCGGTCCTTAAGGGCAGTGAGTGAGTTTTTTGTGGTTGTAGTATGTCTTTTTCTGCTTTGTGCCAGTGGCCTTTTCCCCCCCTTCCTTGTTCATTTTGTAGAGGCTGGTAATGGGCACTGTGCTATGAGAGAAGCAGAGCCCTGATTAGGGGACAGGGCTTCCATGATTAGGGGGCTTATAAAGGTAACCAGTCAGCCAGCCAGTGGCTCAGGAGAAGCGAACAGATCTGTAAACAGGGGAGTCTGAGTGGGAGTTTTGGAAGGGGGGGGTGTGGCATTCTGGTTTTGTTTTGGTTTTTGATTGTTTTTATTTTTCCCCCTTGGCAGGAGTTTAGGAAGGAAGGCTATGACAGGTGCAGTGACAACAGTGGTAGTGACTGAAGACATGGAAGAGACAATGAATATGACTGGATGTGGAAGCTGCAGGATGTACATGATCCTAGAGCAGGTACCTGAAAAAAGCTTCGTTTGTATGAAGAGCCACTTGATAAAGCTCATGGAAGAGAAGACTCGAGGCTTGGAGACGCAGGTGGAAAGTATGGGTGAGTTTCGAAGGGGTTTTGAGTAATGATGAAGCAAAGGCAAGAGAAAGCTGAAGGGAAAAGTCAAGACTAGCACGTGCAAACTGGACTGAAGAATTCAGAGGGGAGACTACTGGGTGAGGAAATTGGTTAGTGGAAGGATGTGACTATAAGAACCAGGCAGAGGAAAAGATCAGTTAGTGAAGGAGAAATAGAGCTCAGGAACAGGTTTTCTGAACAGGATAATGAAGGAGCACAACAGGCTGCAACTGAAGGAGGGAGGGAAAGGAAGAAGAGTAAAACAACTAGTCCTGTAAGAAAAGGGGAAGAGCTAATGGAGATACCCAGAGTTCAGAGCCACAGGAGGATACAGGATGACTTGGAGAAGATTGTAAGGGAGAATAAAAGATAAGAGGACTTGCAGCCAGAAAGAACAGGAGGAAGGCCAGCAAATCATACTATCACTAGTAAAAGGTAGGTCTATGTGATTGCGGACTCCCTGCTAAGAACAGACAGGCTTGTCACCAGAGCTGATGCAGAGAACAGAAGGGTGTGCTATATACCAGGAGCTAAGACATGGGATGTGGACCTGAGGCTGAAGAGGATCCTAACAGGAACAGGAAAGAATCCACTGATTACCCTTTTTTGTGAATATGCCAGGATGGGGAAGATACTTAAGGAAATGGAGGCTCACATGATCTTCAGTGGGATTCTGCCTGCCCCTAGAGGAGGAAAACAAAGGCGAGACAAGACTATGATGATCAACAGATGGCTCAGGCAGTCATGCTCTAAGGAGGGCTCTGGGATGTTTGACCACCAGGAGGTATTCATGGATAAAGGACAGTTCTCATGGGATTGACTCCATCTAAGTAGGGAGGGAGATTGACTTCTGGGATGGAGGTTGGCACAACTCATTAAAAGAGCTTTAAACTAGGAACTCAGAGGAGACTTCAACAAATAGTTGCTAAAGCAACAAGAGGTGATGCCGTTTTATAAGTGGTATTGGTGAGTAGAGGATAACCTTGGTTTGAGTGATCATGAGTTAATTCAGTTTAAACTAAGTGGAAGGATAAACAAAAACAGATCTGCAACAAGGGTCCTTGATTTCAAAAGAGCTAACTTAAAAATTTCCTCAATTTTTTAAGGAAAGTGGACTGGACTGAAGAACTCAAGGATCTGAATGTGGAGGAGACTTAGCATTACTTTAAATCAAAGATGCAGAAGCTATCTGAAGCCTCCATACACCAAGCAAGGGGAAAAAATTCACAGAGAAGGGTTTCAGACCAAGCTGGATGAGCAAATATCTCAAACAGGTGAAAGCAGAAAGCCTACAAGGACTGGAACGTAGGAGGGATCAGCAAAGAAAGCTACTTCTTGGAGGTCAGAAAATGTAGGGATAAATAGAGAACTGCCAAAAGCCAAGAAGAGTTGGACCTTGCAAAGGGAATTAAAACCAATAGGAGAAAGTTCTACAGCAATATAACTACGAAGAAAACAAGTAAAGAAGAAGTGGCACCATTAAGCACTGAGGATGGGGTGGAGATTAAATGTTATCGCGGCATGGCCCAACACCTAAACCAATACTTTGCCTCAGTTTTTGATGAGGCTAATGAAGGGTTTAGGATTAGTAGCATTGTAGCTAATGGCAACAAAGATATGGAGTTAGAAATTACCACAGTTTAATGGGACTAAATCAGGGGGCCTGGATAATCTCCATTCTAGAATATTAAAGGAACTGGCACATGAAATTGCAAACCCAATAGCAAAGATCCTTAATGAATCTGTAAACTTGGGGATCAGACCTTATGACTGGAGAATTACTAATACAGTTCGTATTTTTAAGAAAGGGGAAGAAAAGTGATCCACAAAACTACAGGCCTGTTACTTTGACCTCAATTGTATGCAAGATCTTGGAACAAATTTTTAAAGAGAAAGTAGTTAAGCACACAGAGGTGAAAAGTAACTGGGATAAAATACAACATACTTTTACAAAAGGTAGATTGTGCCAGACCAACCTGATCTCCTTCTTTGAGAAGATAACTGATTTTTTAGACAAAGGAAATGCAGTACATCTAATCTACCTGGATTTCAGTAAGGCATCTGATACAGTTCCACATGGGAAAATTATTAAATTGGAGAAGATGGGGATTTCTATGAATAGGGCCCTATCAAATTCATGGCTGTGAAAAACGCATCATGGACCGTGAAATCTGATTGTGTGTGCTTTTACCCTATATTATACAGGTTTCACAGGGCAGACCAGCATTCCTCAAATTGGGGGTCCTGACCCAACAGGGAGTTGCAAGAGGTCACAAGGTTATTTTAAGGGGGGTCATGGTATTGCCACCCTTACTTCTGCACTGCCATCAGAGCTGGGGGGGTGGGGGGAAGGGCGGTGATCTGGAGAGCGGCGGCTGTTGGCCAGGTGCCCAGCTCTGAAGGCAGCACCCCACCAGCAGCAGCGCAGAAGTAACGGTGACAATACCATACCATGCACCCTTACTTCTGCGCTGCCGCCTTCAGAGCTGGGTGGCAAGAGAGTGGCAGCTGCTGACTGAGGGCCCAGCTCTGCAGGCAGCAGTGCAGAAGTAAGGGTGGCCATACCATACTATGCCATCCTTACCTCTGTGCTGCTGCTGGCAGCGGCTCTGCCTTCAGAGCTGAACTCCCAGATAGCAGCAGCCACCACACTCCAGCTGCCCTGCTCTGAAAACAGGGCTGCCAGCAACAACAGCGCAGAAGTAAGGATAGCAGTACCACAAACTCCCCCACCCAAATCCTTTTTGGGTCAGGACCCCTACAGTCACACCACCATGAAATTCCAGATTTAAATAGCTGAAATCATGAAATTTATGATTTTTAAAATCCAGTGACTGTGAAATTAACCAAAATGGACCGTGAATTTGGTAGGGTCCTAACTATGAGAACTGAAAAGTGGATAAGGAAATGGTTAAAGGGGCAACTACAAAAAGTCATACAGAAAAGATGAACTTTCAGGCTGGAGGGAGGTTACTAGTGAAATTCCTCAGGGATCAGTCTTGGGATCAATCTTATTTAACATTTTTATTATTCACCTTGGCACAAAAAGTGAGCGTGCTAATATCTGTGGAGGACACAAAATTGGGAGGTATAGCCAATAAGGAGGAGGAATGGAATATCTTACATGAAGATCTGGATAATCTTGTAAACTGGCGTAATAGAAATGGGACGAAGTTTAATAATACAAAGTGCAAGGTCATGAATTTAGGGACTAACAAGAATTTTTGTTATAAGCTAGGGACTTATCAGTTGGAAGTAAGTGAGGAGGAGGTGTATTAGTTAATCACAGGAGGACTATAAGCCATCAAAGTGATGCGGCTATGAAAAAGGCTAATGCGACGATGCATCAGGCGAGGTATTTCCAGTAGAGTCAGGGAAGTGTTAGTACCATTATACAAGGCACTGCTGAGACCTCATCTGGAATACTGTGTGCAACTATGATCTCCCATGTTTAAGAAAGATTAATTTAAACTGGAACAGGTGCAAAGAAGGGCTACTAAGATAATCCAAGGAACAGAAAAACTACCTTACGAAAGGAGCCTCAAAGAGCTTGGCTTGTTTAGCCTAACCAAAACAAGGCTGAGGGAAGATATGACTGCTCTCTATAAATACATCAAAGAGATAAATACCAGGGAGGGAGAGGAGTTACTTAAGTTAAAGTTAATGTGGATACAAGAACTAACTTCTATAAACTGGACATCAACAAGTTCAGGCTTTAAATGAGACAAGCCATCAGAGGAATGAACCTTAACCATCAGAGGAATGAAGTTCTGGAACAGCTTGTCATGGGGAACAGTGGGGGGAAAAAAACTTAACTGGCTTCAAGACTGAGCTTGATAAGTTTATGGAGGGGTTGGTATGACGAGATTGCCTACTGTGGCATGTGGCCCATTGCCAACTGTCAGTAACAAAAGTCTTCAACTGCTGGAAATGGAACACTAGATGGGGAGGGCTCTGAGTTACTACAGAGAATTCTTTCCCAGGTATCTGTCTGGCGGGTCTTGCCCACATGCTCAGAGTCTAACTGATAGCCGTATTTGGGGTCAGGAAGGAATTTTCCCCAAGGTCAGATTAGCAGAGACCCTGGTGGTTTTTTGCCTTCCTCTCCAGCACGGGGCACAGGTCAAACTTGCAGGTTTCAACTAGTGTAAATGATGAATTCTCTGTAACTTGAAGTCTTTAAACCATGATTTGAGGACTTACGTAACTCAGCCAGAGGTTAGGAGTTCATTTCAGGAGTGTGAGAAATTCTGTGGCGTACAACATGAAGGAGGTCAGAGTAGGTGATCATGACATTGAACTTTATGAGTCAAGATGGTGAAAATATTACCAAATGCTAGCAAGTATACAATCACTGAAGTCCATCTCCATATAAGATGGCCCATGGTGCAAACATTTTGGAATGGAGTTTTAAAGACGACTTGTCAACTAACACAGCTAGCCTTGTGATTGTACAATAGCCTTTTATTTCTGCTATTTTTTTTTGAAATCTGAAGTATTCTTTCGTAATAAGGGGGGAATATGCAGTGTGCTTACACTGCCAAACACACAATAGAAATATGATCCCCAAAATTATGTAATTTTAGTGATCAACCAGCCTACTTGGAAGCAATAATAGAAGGCTTATTGTTAACTGTACAATAAAGTACAATATGCCCTCATATTGTATACTGAAGGGGAAGATGTAGTCCCTGCCCCAAAGATCTTACCTTATAACTCATACAGCATGCTGACAAAAGAATGGGTAAACAGAAATCTGTTTTAAGGAGAGACTTTAACAGAGGCTAAAAGGTTGGCACATGAGCAGTACAAAGGATGAAAACTTGGAAAAATTAAAAAAACTGAAATGGGTGGATAAGATTGTCTGAGAGTTGCCCTCGGTAGTTATATCCTGAGAAAGAACAGAATTAAGGTTATTTAGCTGTCTTATAACGGCACTGCCATAATCAAAAATGTTTGTGTTTCTTTTAAATTTAAACTTAATGACTTGCTTGTATTTCCAAACCATTTTAATTAATACAATCTTACCTCAATTTACCCTAAAATTAGTGATGTATGCTCTCAATCTTATCTCAAGTTTAAATTTTTTGGGGAAAGTAAAGGGACATATATTTCACACTCCCAAATACGTACTCGGTTCCAGTATATCTATTATGATAAACTTTAGTGTCCTTATTTACATAGTTGGTGGAAAATTTAAGCTGTACCCATGATATATATAATACTGATATCATACAATACTGCTGTTTTTTGTTAAAATTTTATAAGTTATTTTCTTTTATATAAATTTTATAAAAAAATTTATAAAAAAAATCTTATAAAATATAAATTTTATAAGTTATTTTCACGCAACTCAATTAACTGCACTTAACGAAGGCTCATAAAAAAGATAAACAGCAGTTAATCCTAAATTAAGTTGAGTACACGAACATTAATAAGCAAAGCAAATCACTGAAGTTTTATAGTCACAGTGAAGACTTCTTACCCTTTTGAAGAAATACATCCAGCTGATCAACACATAATGCCTTCAGCTCTTTCTCACTTTTATCCTTCTTTACCAAGGCAAGAACGTATTTAGCTAGGGCTGAGGGATCTGCATCACATCTGTAAATAATTGATAAAAATATAGAATTCAGTAATGAAAAACACAAGACTGCCCGAACCTGGCACAATACACACATCTAGGGCTCAGTTCTGCTGCTATTAAAGTCAATTAAACTTCCAATCAATTTCAGTAGGAAATGATAAGATTGGGCCACAAAAAACGCCACCAAAGTTACCTTAAAATATCGAATCTTTTGGATATTAGCAATTAATCTTCATCTATCTACATTACACAAGAAGATGTCATTTAACCTCCTTCACAGAAAAATAAAGGGAATGTATATTACGTTACACTTTTACTGATGCAAGTAGACAAAAAATATTAATAATCATGTTGCAGTTCATCTCTAAATATAAGATTACAGCAGGGGATAATAATTTACACCTGGTTAGTATAAACTTTTCTGAGGTATGCTGATATGAACTATAGCTGCTATTTCTACCTGCTCTCCAAAACATGGACTGCCCCTTACTTGAATCAGCACTGACCACAAACACTATTTTGGACCTTCTGCCATCTAGATATCAGTGCTGAAGTGTTACCAGAGTGAAAAATTTGTGCATAATTACGAAGGCAACATGAATTGTAATGACAAGTAAAGGTTAATTTTGAAATATGGATACTACTGAAGTTAAAGGAAATTTTGCCATGGACTTCAATAGTGCCAGGATTTCATTCTTGATCCCTATACCAAAAGGGCTGAAAATGCTAGAGAGAGAACACCTCCCACGCAACCGAGACCTTGGGTCAGTTAAGTCGTGGCATGGTGAAAAAATTTCTATTCACTCCTCTTCAAATGTAAGGGAGACAGAAATGTTGTCTTGGACAGCAAATGTAAAGCAGGAGAGATTCTTGGTATTCTAAGATCCTTTAGTTCCATCATATTGCCAAAGGAGGATTGTTCCCTAGAGCAGAGGTTCTCAAACTGTAGACCACAAAGCTCTTGGTAGCAACATGCAGAGTTAGTCAGTCAACATTGTACCAGATCTTTGTTTCCAGCTGCTAAATGGCCTTAAAAGAAACTAAAAACACAATAAAAACTCCCCTACTTTTTCACATAAGAATTGCTGAAGTTGCCACAGGGAAAGTCAAGTAATGAATGGGAAGAGAGAGGATCTACATAGTCACAAATGGGTAGAATGGGGCACCACAATATTTTATTAAAATTATTTACATTTTGAATACATTTGAGAACCCCTACCCTATATTTTCTAGCACTTTATCTAGTCTTATTTTGTCATGTATTTGGTAACAGATTGAGTTGGCTAAAAATCTGTTTTCAAAACCCTTGGAAACAATGTTCATACACGATTATTACATAAAGGCAAGTGCACCAACACATGAGAAATGCGGTGTTCAAGTTTTAGTGAAAGCTCAAAATGCCAGAGCAGGAAAAGAAAACAAAAAAAGGTTTCAAGGAAGAGCATTGAAGCACTAAGGCAAAAATAATCAAAAACACTAATGCAAAGGCTACAAAGCATGAAAGCTCAGCCTTCAAGTAAAGCACTCGAAGGACAGGTCTATACTAAATATGTTAGATTGACACAGCTATGTTGAAAGATCCAGACTCTGAGCAATGTTGGTAAGCCGACCTAACCTCCACTGTAGATCAGCACAGGAGCGATCCCTCAATTAGAGGATGATCTCTACCACAGATGTATATATGGGTCCTGAGATGACTCAGGAGTCCAATCCTGGAAAACACAAATCCACCCACTGTAGTTACAGACATTTCCTGGTGGGCCAGCTGCCTGCTGGGAGAAAGTTCTTTTTCCTTCCTTCTCTCTTTTTCAGCTTCGAGGGCAGGACACTTCTCAAAGCGGGCCACTGCCTGATGGGAGGATGTGGTGCCAGTGGGGTCGGTCGGTAGCTTGATCCTCCTAGCTTATGATATCTGCACACAATGTCCAGCCCAGCCAAATCTCTACATCAGGTGGATTTTACATACATATTTTAAAGGCTCAGCAAAAAAATCAACTAAACTGTTTCCAAGAAGGAGATTAGAGAAAAATAAATTGTCAGTATTAAACATTTCTTTCAACTGTTTCTCTGAGATGCTCTAGTGCCCCCATGTTTTAGAGCAGCAACTTGAAATTTGACAGGAGGGATGACCTCTGGAGGAAGGGATGTCAGTATGGTTCCACATAATGAAATCTTGACAGGTCTCAGAGTAGCAGCCGTACTTTGAGGTTTTTTTTTAATTTTTAAAAAACTAAGGAAATACATAAAGCTTAAGCTAAAATAATGATGCTAGAGTTTGCATGATCAAGCACTCAAAAACTGGGAAATGCAAAAATTAAAGGTGCTCCTGCAAACTTAATTCAATACCCTCAATGACTATGCATAATGATGCAGTCTTTATTTACATCATCACACACTACTTGTCCTACAGAACGTGTCTTCATTCAATGGATAGACTGTGATTAAGAAGAGATGCTCTTAAACATCTGGCTTGGCATTTGGGAGAGTTTAATAGTTTTCCAGGCTTGACCACAGACTTTCTATATGATGTTGGGTAAGGCTATCATAATACATACACACAATGGGGCTGAATTAAGACTAAGATAGGTAGGTTCTTATACCACACATCACTGTAGGATATGAGCATCGTCCAGTATTATATTAAGTGAGATGACGAACGTCTGTGATTTATTGTTTTCTCTCTCATCCTCTCACCAAGGGGAAACATGTATTCTGTACAGCTATGGTTTTCAACCTTTTTTTATTTGAGGACACCTAAAAAGTTTCAAACGGAGGTGCAGACCCTTTTGGAAATCAGAGACAGTCTGCGAACCCTGATGGGTCCATAGACCACAGATTGAAAAACACTGTTCTACAGTAATGACCAAATTTCACAGATCCCTTAGTCATAGTGTGCAGACCACCCCAGGGTCCACAGACCACAGGTTGAAAACCACTGCAGTAGAGCATTATATTTTGTTGCTGCTGGATTTGGGGGTTTGGTTTTTTTTAAATATATAAACAAGGTTCTCTTTGCTCATATTTGAGAAGGCAAGGTCAAAAAAATGTGCCTTCCACTTGGAGTGGACAATCGAGAGATTTGTTGTGGTCCTTAGTTACTGAGGGAGTTTGTTTCACAGTTTCAGGCTTGCCCACAAGAAAATTCTGTCTCCCACACAGAACGAGCTTACTCTCCTCGTAAAGCGTTTCATTGTGCCAGAAGAGGAAGGTGTCAACTCCAGTCTTCACCATGAGGCATCAGGCAAACTTTTAGATATGCTGGGCCCAGGACACTGAGTGCCTTCAAAATAAGGACCAAGTGCTTGAACCTGACTCCGTATTATATAGCAAGCCAGTGCAGGGAGTGGAGGCCAGGTCTGATGTGTTCACTGTAACCTGTGTTGCTCAGAAGACATGCTCCAGTGTACTATGGAGCTTCCTACAGAAAGTACTATGGAGTTGGAGCTTCCTAAGTGCTGAAAGCTCCATGCTCAGGTATATTGCATTGCTGTAGTCCAGTCCACAGGCAACAAAGGCATGAACAACTGAAACCAGGTCATGGTCTCCCAGGATAAAAGTCTCCTGGCCAGCCAGGGATGGTAGAAAGTATTACTGAAGCATATTAATATTTAAGAACTTATGTCAGAGAGAAATCAGAGCACTCCCAAACTACGGACTGAATTGACTAATTGTGGCTATGTACCTTCAGCCACAGGAGACTGCACAGTGGCTGCAAACTTCAGCTCTGTGCAGCAGCATCACTTCTATCTTGCTTCAATTCAGCTTCAACTAGCTGTTCTTTGTTCATAAGCAGATTTGGTCCAAACATTGGGCCAGCTTGGTTGTAGTAGCATGGTGCACTGCGCATGCGCAAAATTCATTTCCCAGCAGATTTCTTTGTCCCCCCGCAGAAAAATGACTGACAGGGAAGCAAAGGGAAGTCACAAAAGTGGTCATGCGACCCCCCCACAGTATGTTTCGGGTGCCCAGGGCAGCGGCAGAGAGGTATATCACTGTGGGGCGGGACTGGAGAAGACGCAGCGCCTACGCTGCGCTGGGCGCAGCTGCTAGGCCTGGCTGGACTGGGGAGGACGGGACTTCCTCTTATCATAGAATCATGGAAAATGAGGGTTGGAAGGGACTTCAGGAGGTCATTTAGTCCAGCCCCCTGCTCAAAGCAGGACCAAGAACTAAATCATCCCAGCCAGAGCTTTGTCAAGCCTGACCTTAATCATCCCAGCCAGAGCTTTGTCAAGCCTGACCTTAAAAACCTCAAAGGAAGAAGATTCCACGACCTCACTGGGTAACACATTCCAGTGCTTCACCACCCTCCCAGTGAAAAAGTTTTTCCTAAACCTCCCCAGTGCAACTTGAGACCATTACTCCTTGTTCTGTCATCTGGTACCACTGAGAACAGTCTAGATCAGCGGTTCCCAAACTTGTTCCGCCACTTCTGCGGCGAAAGCCCCTGGCGGGTGGGCCCTGAGGACGCAGCAGATAAACAAACTGGCCCGGCCCGTCAGGGGCTTTCCCTGAACAAGCGGCAGAACAACTTTGGCAACCACTGGTCTAGATCCATCATCTTTGGAATCCCCTTTCAGGTAGTTCAAAGCAGCTATCAAATCCCCCCTCATTCTTCTCTTCTGCAAACTAAACAATCCCAGTCCCCTCAGCCTCTCCTCATAAGTCATGTTCTCCAGCCCCCTAATCATTTTTGTTGCCCTCCGCTGAATGCTTTCCAATTTTTCCACATCCTTCTTGTAGTATGGGGCCCAAAACTGGATACACTACTCCAGATGAGGCCTCACCAATGTTGAATAGAGGGGAACGATCACGTCCCTCGATCTGCTGGCAATGCCCCTACTTATACAGCCCAAAATGCCGTTAGCCTTCTTGGCAACAAGGGCACACTGTTGACTCATATCCAGCTTCTCGTCCACTCTAACCCCTAGGTCCTTTTCTGCAGAACTGCTGTCTAGCCATTCAGTCTCTAGTCTGTAGCGGTGCATAGGATTCTTCTGTCCTAAGTGCAGGACTC